AAGTCCAGAAGTTACAGAGTAGACGATCGCAAATTCACTCAATTAGATACCATCTCCAGGAGAATGTTCTTTGGATTGAATAGATCTAGAACGATTAATGAAACTCTCATCACCAAGTTCAAGAATTCTACAGAGGAGGAAGATAGAATGATCTACTCAGCTCTACTCATGCAGAAAAGAGACCACCAATTTCTTACAGAGCACCTGTCAGCCCTTACTGAAACTACTACCATGGCTCAAATTAGGCCAAGGCTTACTAGCCTCCTGCTCTTGGGATAAGCAATTTACAGAATCTCTATACACAGCTCCATGGTCATCAGCCCTTACTGTTTGGTGGCAACATAGACAAGGTCTCCAAAGAAGTATCTAAAGGACTTCGAGAGAGGTACTTATGATCAGATCCATGGATACCTTAGCGAGCGTCATTAAACAGTCAACACAGAGATACTTCGGGCAAGTCTTAGTTTTCGGGCTACAGAAAGCCGCAGGAACACGAAATTAGCTGCAGCTAAAGATCCCAAGGATTCTTTTCGTTGCCCATACAACAAATTTAGGGGAGGATCAGCTAGAGGCAGATCATCCAGAGGTGCCCGTGGATTTAGACGATGAAATTCAGGTTCGGAACGACTGGAGTCTTCCACCCCCAGCCGTTCCAGTACAACCGTCTCAAGTGGGTGGACGCCTTCAGCTACACTGGGAAAACTGGGGAATACTACAAGATCCATATGTATCCAACATCCTACAGCACGGATATCTAATACAACTCAAGGCCAAGCCTCCGTTAACAGTCAACCCCAGTCAACAGGCCTTAGAAGTTCTGGATCAAAGAAACATCGTACCAGGTTTCTACTCCCCAGTTTTCCTAGTGCCGAAGAAAAATTCCAAGGAGAAGTTTCGTCTCATATACAACATGAGCATCTTCAAAAGAGAATATCTATGCAAATCACCAATGTTTCGCATGATACACTTACCGCAACTTCGGCATTTAATTCGTCCCAAAGATTACATGGCCAGCATAGATTTGCAAGACGCATATTTACACATTCCGATTCATCCCAACTCAAGGAAATATCTAAGATTTATCCAAGACAGGAAACATTATCAATGGTAGGTTCTTCCCTTCGGAATCACATCGGCCCCTTGGGTATTCACAAGAGTGACCAAGCCTATTGTCTCATACCTACATCGTCAAGGACTTCACAGCGCTTTTTACCTAGACGACGGTATACAAGTGGATCCAGATCCACAGCATCTCAGACTACAGCTGAACTTTATAATCAAGCTACTAACACAATTAGGATGGTTAGTAAATCTACTCAAGTCGGACCTAGAACCAACGCAGGATCTGCAATTTCTAGGTATACGATTTCTAACAGCTCAGAATCGTATTGTAGTCCCGGAGGACAGATGGATCAAGATCCAACAACTTATTCCTCAAGCCCTACTCTCTCCGTTACCACTCACGACAGTGTGGCAGAGCCTATTGGGACTACTCACATCAGCTCAAGACTTGACAGTCAGAGGCAGGCTTCAATTCGTCCGTTACAAGTCCTCATCAATGCTCATCTCGAGGACCCTCTACCATTCAGTCTACCAGATTATGTCAAACCACATCTACTCTGGTGGACCAAGAGATTGAATGTTTGCGCAGGCGTCTCCTTAGTAGAGCCGGAATCGAAAACACATCTCTACGTAGACACGTCACTACAAGGTTGGGGAGCCCACCTTGTTGGCAGGACAGCGTCAGGCCTATGGAGCAATCAAGAGAGCAAATGTCACATAAATCTGCTAGAGATGCAAGCAGCCATAAACGCCCATAAGTCACTGGAGCAACCTACTACAGAACGCTCAGTTGATGGTTCACACAGACAATTCAACAGTGGCATTTTATGTGAACAAACAAGGTTCAACAAGGTCACAGAACCTACTGGCTCGATGTTTCAGACTGTTCGATTTAATCGACAATCTAAACATACACGTCAGAGCTTGTATCATTCCAAGAGCAAAGAATGTATTAGCAGACGCTGTCTCTTGGCCACACCAACCGTCGCCGACAGAATGGATGCTCCACACAGAGATATTAAATCAAATAATCATGGAAATAGGATCTCCACTGATAGACCTATTCGCCACTCGATTCAACAAGCAACTGACAACTAGCATGGGCAACGGACGCACTAAGCATATCGTGGGAGAGACTCAACGCGTACGCTTTCCCGCCTCCAGCGTTGATCCCACAAGTCTTACAGAAAATCAGTCAAACGCAGAGCCTCCATCTCATTTTGGTCGAGCCCTACTCGCCAGCGAGAACTTGGTTTCCAGATCTCATTCAAGTAATGGGAAAACCAATTCTTCAACTCCCACAACGCGCCAATCTATTGATACATCCGCACACCAAACAAGTGCACGAAACACCAGAAGCATTCCAACTTCACGTATGGATTGTATCAAGGCATGTCTGAATAAGAAAGGTTATTCTGCCAGAGCAGCTAAAGCGGTCAAAGCTTTGCACTACGTGAACTCAACTTCGTAACTTATCACGATGACAAATGGCACAGTTTTGTCAATTACGCTGCTAAGAAAGGATTTACAGCCAGATATGCTACACATCCTCAAGTGGCAGATTTCTTATGTTATCTACTGCAAACTAAGAATCTAAAAGGCTCAACCTTGTCCACTTATCTTGCAGCTATAAGTTCTGTCATAACTATGCGAACGGGCGTCAAGTTAACAAACACCAGAGTTACTCGCTTTGTTACGAGCGTTCCGATTGGAGGATCAGAAACGGAAGTTTCATGCTCCAGCCTGGGATCTAAATATAGTGCTCCAACACCTCACTAGTGAGGCTTATAAACCATTGCTATCTACATCGTTTGAATCACTGACCCACAAAACCTTATTCCTGTTAGCACTAGCTACGGCCGCCAGGATGTCAGAGATTCACGCATTTGATTACGAGAGAACACGCTTTGATGATATTCATAACATCGCTAGCACTAGCTACGGCCGCCAGGATGTCAGAGATTCACGCATTGGATTACGAGAGAACACGCTTTGATGATATTCATAACATCGCTCATCTGGGACTTCGCTGGGATTTTAAAATGAAAAACCAACTGCCAGGTCAACCAGACAGATTATTCCACGTCCCAGCTCTCTCATCCATACTTGGACCGCATGATACGATGGATCTATCACTATGCCCAGTGAGAGCACTGAAAATATATCTCCAACGATCCAAACAGAGCAGAGGGAAATTCAAGAGATTATTTATCCCTATATCTACAGCTACGCAGACGGAAGTCTCAATGCATTCTACTATCTCTATCTGGATCAGAACTGTCATACTACGTGCCTACAAGGCTGCAGGACTCGACCCTCCAAGAGCTTCTAATCCTCACGAGTTAGAGCTTAGCCTCAACTCTCAGCTCTACATGGGAATTGCTCATTGAATACCATAATGGAGGGATGTTACTGGAGATCCGATATGGTGTTTGCCAACCACTATCTGAGAGATATCACCACCGAGGACGTCTCAGGTATCCACCATTTCGGTCCCATGGTCCTCGCTCAACAGTTGACAGTTCCACGGAGAAGATAAGTCTATCTTACAGATTTTATACTTATCTGATAACAAAGTACTAATAGCTACATGCTATCTATAAATTTTGCTTAAGTTTAATTTATTGTCTTAAGCTCAGTACTATGGTTTTTTATATCATACTATATATAAGCTTACAACTCCTAGGAGTTTTGCTATTATATATATGTTCAGCGTAAGTTTCATCAATCCTTAAGCTCAGTCATATGGTCATATGCATAAGTGTATTAGCTAACAAACTCTAAGGAGTTGGTTACTATTATACAGCTTAAGTTATAATTATATCTTAAGCACAGTACTATACTATTATAGCTTAAATATATGCATATCTTAAGCTTAATACTTTGGTTCATTTATAAAAGTATCCACTATAAACTCACAGAAGTTTATACTATCACATTAATAGCTTCAGCTTACATTAATGTTGTATATATTTTTATCATATTCAATAAATTGTAATAACCTTTATATGGCAGCTGATAAGTTAAGCAGCAGGAATTCATCAGTTCAGTGCCTTTATGAAGTTCCCATAGGGTTATTACAATCATCGCAGTTCAAATCACTAATTATTAAAATCCAAAGTATATATATTCCCACCTCCTTTTCGGTCGGATTCTACAAGCAATAAGCATGAGTCAGGATAAGGAAAAATATGAAATTTTTAGAGTAAAATTAATATTTTATACTTATCCTGACTCATGAAGTAAGCCCTCCCGTCCTCCCCACTTAACACTTTGGATTTCTTCGGAAAAATAAAGTGTCGGGCTCGAAACAAAAGGAGAGAGTGAGGCACATGGGTTGAGGTGGCGCCCTCGTTCCCGCGCTTGTGGAAGGGAGGTAACTCGTGGTGAGTACTAATTAGTACTAAGAAGAAGACAAGCAATAAGCATGAGTCAGGATAAGTATAAAATATTAATTTTACTCTAAAAATTTCATGCTTAGTTTACCAATGAAATGCCACAGAATTACTTTCAATATATTTTATGGCTGTAACATTCAGTTGATTGTTGTGTACAACCTCAACTTTTACACATAATAGTCTTGCCTAGTGATGTTTAAATGAAAATTTGACGTCTTCACTGACAAAATCGTTTTCTCTTGTTCGTTCTGGGTACAATATGTGAAGCCCATTTCTGGTGTCCCCCGCCGTGATATAGCTGGAATATTGGTAAAAGCGGCGTAAAACTAAACTCACTCACTCACTCACTCTTGTTCGTTCACGCGAAACGATACAATTTCGTTTTCATACTGTCACCAGAAAAAAGTTTGAAGAAAGTGTTACTTGTAGATAATCTGACCCCCTTTTATAGACCGCACTTTTTGGTCTTCAAAATTCGGCTTATCTATGGTAATTTACGGTACCCTCTTTGTATATATATGCATGCATTAACTGTTACAGTGCCACCCTGAATGACCTTTTCATCAACATCCTGCTGAACATCCTGACCGAGGCAGCCTACCCTGCCGTCCTGGCCGGATATGAGTAGGTCACCATGCTCCTCCTGATACCGGACATTGAACATTCCACAGGGTGACCCTCACTAACATGTGTACAAAACAAATGGTCTCCTAAACATCAGTTGTGGGGAAACAAAAACAAAGGAATATGCTACTTAGAATGTTTCTGGGAATAATATTCCATGAGTTACTTACCCTCTCAAATTGATTGACTTTGGTTTTATGTTCTTTTCTTAGTCTTGATGTAAAAAGGGGTGGTGGGGTGGCCTAGTGGGTAAAGTGTTTGTCATCACGGTAACGTTTGATTCCCCACATGGGTACAATGTGTGAAGCATTTCTGGTGTCCCCCACCTTGATATTGCTGGAATATTGCTAAAAGTGGCATAACACTAATGTCACTCATTCACTCGTGATGGAAAGAGGATTTTTTCAAATATTGTATTAGATCACATTTGTGATTTTTTGTTTGTTTATCAGATCTATAAAGAGGATTTATTCAAATATTGTATTAGATCACATTTGTGATTTTTTATTTGTTTATCAGATGTATAAAATCAGTAATTACAAAACTGTGTTGTGTTGAGCAGAGTGCTGCTGATTATAGTCATGACATGCTTGTGTGTTGCAGGTACTGGGTGGAGGGGTTTCCTACCGGCATCGTCATCAGCATGGAGGGATTTAGTCACAAGATGCCTGTAAGTTGTAGTTTTCAGGATATGCACTAAATTACATTACATTTAAGTCATTAGGTAAAAAAATGGTTTACCCCATTCATGACGCTGTGCACACAATGTGCAAAGTGTGCATGTTGGTTTTATGTTTATACCTCTGTAAAAACGAAAAATAAGATGAATTCAGTCCTTATTTATATCTTTCTCAGCAGTAATAACTTCACGGACTACTTAATTAATAATTAACACATAACATATAGACAATGATACAAAAAAAATGCTGCAAGACAATGATGCAGCACAAACCCCTCCCACTCTATGTTCAACCAATCTGCAAACAGTAGTCAACTAATGGGCATGGCATATCTGCTGTAGGTTTATGGGACATTAATGCAAGAAAATGTTGTTTGGTTTGCCATCCAAATGCCACAAAAACACTTGCAGTATATTTATTGATGAAATTCCTTTGTTTCTGGACGTTGACATTGAGTCAGATACTCTGCTACTGTTGCAGCTGTTGTTCCGGTGTATGGTCGACCATATCGCTGACTTCGTGTGTAGCCCAGAGTTGTTTGAAGCCATCAAGACACAGTTACAGAAGGCATTCTACAATGAGATGATCAAACCTTTTGAATTGGCAAGGTTTGTCACTGAACCTGATTACAACAATATAGATGGGTTAGATAAGTGATATTATGATCAAACATTTTGAATGGGCAAATTGAGTGAGTGAGTGAGTTTAGTTTTACGTCACACTCAGCTATATTCCAGCTATATGGCGGAGGTCTGTAAATAATTGAGTCTGGATCAGACAGTCCAGTGATCAACAGCATGAGCATCAATCTGCGCAGTTGGGATCCTATGAGATGTGTCAACCAAGTCAGCAAGCCTGACCATCCGATCCTGTTAGTCGCCTATTACGACAAGCATGGGTTAATGAAGATCAATATTCTGACCATGACCTTCACAGGTGGGAAAATTGAACCTGCATAATACTGAAAACAGCTTTACCCCATTTGGGGATCAAATAGGTCCCTAGCAACATGCACTGGTTGTAAGGTTAGGAGGCGACATGTTTGCTTGTGACCATACCCCAATGGCATGGATATATACTCATGATATTGATCACTGGATTTTGTAGTCCTGATTTGATTATTTACTGCCTGGTCCAGTATATCTGGAATATTACCAACACTGGAGGTTTTTAAGTTATAGATGTTATGCCTGATCTCTCTTGTATATCTGTCACTGTTTTATATTTCTGCATTGGTAATTAAAGATTTTATCCAGACATGATTTTATAGCTTTGATAGACAAACATCTCACAAGTTGATGAAATCGGAATGTACCCTACTTCATGTGTTGATTTCATGTCAGCACAAGCCATTGATGTATTTCAGAATGTTGCGGTTCGCCATGTTAGATCCAAGTACCCAGGCACTACCCGACCGGTACCGTCTGATTTCAGACCTGACTCTCCCCCAGCTCACAGCCTTCCTCAGCAAATTCAAGAGTCAACTTTTCATTGAAGGATTTGTTATAGGGAATTTCCGACCTGAGGTATGTGTGTTTGTTTATTCTCTCAATCCATTTTAACTTATCAAAATATGAACTTCTACTAACAGGTTTTGATTTTATCTTTTAATTTCCTCTGAATGAGTAAAAATATGTTGACATGTTGATTACCCATAAATAAACTGGCTTGGAAATGTTAGATTTAGGGATGTTGTCCAAGAAAGATTTAGCAAAGGCACTGTTCCATGCATTCTCTTCCCACAGAGGTTACTTGTCAGGATTACCGAGCCTCTGTTCTAATACGGCCCTTTCATGGTGTGATTTTTGGTTGCAATCCAGGATTTAGTAGTGCAATCAGTGACATTTCAAAAGTGATCCTTCACAAGGCCTCGGTAATTTCCGTATGCTTCAGAAAAACTAGAACCTCTTCTCCTGCGCGATGCGCATCCGTTTCTTATAGACAGAACTCAGTCATGTAATGGCCTCGTTAAGGTAGCCATTATATGTCATGTGTGTCACATCAACACAAGTCCCCAGCAGAGGAGGGATATTTGTGGCCCCACCTTTGCTTGTATTAGAGAAGTTGGATCTAAGTCGATGTAACACATGTTCTGATTGGATAAAAAGAATGCAGATAATTCGTGTTGCGATGTTTTGCCGCTAGGGATTTTCCAAGAACCGGGAAATATGGCCATATTAGAACAGAGGTTCGTAGGAAGATATGACAAGTAACCTCTGTTGGAAGAGAATGTGTTCCATGAAGCACGCTGTAACTACCATAGGCTTATATTAAGAATAGGAATTTTGGCATAAAACAGGTCCCATGTAATTAATGGCAACACATGGTACAGATGTCAGTGTCCGGTCTTGAATCAACATGAGAATACCATTAGACATATTAAACTGTTGGATTAGGGTATTAAATCGATTTATTGAATGCTGTGTCATTTCACAACCTTAATTGTTACACACTGCTCTATGAAATAAACAGTGACAAATGTTAACCTTTTATCCTATCCTAACCAGTCAAAGTTCATATACTAATTTAACAAGAAACCATCAAATGTACGACCACTCGTCTACTACATTCTATCATTGATGACATGCTGTTGAAAACCCCTCGAAATGTCTACTCCACAGGTTATATGATGTGAAATATCTGCAAAGCAACAATTGTTCATATTTCAGAAACACATTCATGCACTTTCATTTCTACAGTGCTCCAGAACATTTCTAGACTTTGAATCCATATCTATTTCTGTGTCTTTGTTTTCCACCATCTGTGCAGGAGGTGACTGAGATGGCGGACTACATTCAGAAGAGACTCTGCTCACAGCCACTTCCGACAGAGCGTATACCCAAGGTATAGCTTACACTTGGACTGGCTTAGAGAAACAGATGACTGTGAAGGGAGGGTCAAAGAAAATTAAACTGTATAGTTATTGCTCAAACTTTCTTTCATTTTAAACAAAAATTAATTGGATCTATTGCTTAAAGGTGAGGAATCATAAAAAAACATGACAAGCATTGTGGTTTTGTCTGCAGGAAATGAATTGATATTTATGTACAGTACTTCTCCTGTAATCAGTGACTGGTCCCTTATTTGAAGTTAGTGGTGGTGGATCCTGCCGGGTATGTGTTTAGACATAGCTAACTGTTACATTTGGATGCTTCAGAAACTGTTGCTACAGTTACCTACTGGCCAGCTGACCTGCCGGGTGGAGAGCGTCAACAGGGACGACTGTAACTCCTGCATCACCGACTACTACCAGTCTGAACCAGGCAACCTTAGGAAGTCTTGTATCAATGAACTACTGCTGGTTCGTGCTAACGTTGAATCATAACCCCCTTTCTTAATTAATTTATTGTTAGCATGTATTCATCTTTAACTTCAGATTAAAAATAGGATACTCAAACTTAAAACACTATTTACAATCATGTCTAATTCCAAGGCTCAATAGGAACCCACAGTTTAAGTTGATATTTTTTTCTGATGAACCTGATTGTGTAGCATCTTACACCAGTGAGTTCTTGTTGATTATTATCGATTATGTACAGGCTGTCATGACTGGATGCTGTAGGAGTGAGTAAGTTTAGTTTTACTCTGATTTTAGCAATATTCCAGCAATATCATGGCAGGGGACACCAGAAATGGGCTTCACACATTGTACCCATGTCTGAAATCCAATCCTGGTCTCTGGCGTTACGAGCGAACACTTTAACCACTAGGTTACCATACCGCCTAGATGCTGGATGACGAGAGTGTTTAACCAATCATAACCATTCTTGTTTTGTTCATTTTCTTGGTTTTGGGTGATTTCAGACACGGATGAAAGAACCCTGTTTTGACTTTCTACGAACCAAACACCAGCTGGGCTATAGTGTCTTCTGCTACTCCATGGTGACCAATGGCATTCTGGGATTGTCTGTTACTGTGGAGAGCCAGTCAAGCAAACACAGGTGACTGAGACAGTGTGATTGACCAGCTGGAGGATATTTATCTTTAGAAGTGTTATTTCTATATCATGGAGGTCTAAAATGATTAGTGTTGCAAATATTTATTGCATATACAAATTACATGTGATAGCAAGTGATTAACTACTGTTGTTCTTAGAGATGCTATCGATACATTGGGGAATGTTAGCTCAGTTGTTGAAAGGCTGGAAATTACTGTGTAATGATTCATGTCATGGTTGCATCAGGATCTACTTGTTATGGATTCGTAGATTTCTACTGACCCTGATGCTTGTGTTTCACCAAAGTGAGTGAGTGAGTTGGGTTTTACGCCGCTTTTAGCAATATTCCAGCAATATCACGGGGGGGACACCATAAATGGGCTTCACACATTGTGCCCATGTGGGGATTCGAACCCGGATCGTCAGCGTGACGAGCCAACGCTTTTAACCACTAGGCTACCCCACCGCCCCTTTCACCAAAGAGGTAGACATCTTTAACTAACTATGAGTTTTCTCACACATGAAGCTGAAGTGCAGTCATGTACCTGAAATTCTGTTTGTATGGCATCCCCACTCACTCATTTTCTGTGTGATACATTTATCATGTTGATATCACAGCTATAGTCCGGCATCTCATAGATTCACAGGTTGGAGAGAAATATTTAGCGATATTTAGAGCCTCAGTATTTACATCAGCTATTTCTGTATTTATTGCAGCATGAATGATGTGCAGAAGCTGATGGCAGACTTTCTTGGGGAATTCCGAGGAATTCTTCATGCAATGACTGAGGAAGAGTTCGACAGCTTGGTGAGACCTTCCAACTTGACTATATAAATATATTTAAGCTATTCAACTACACAAGATGGCACATAAAGGAAGAAATGGCACATTTTAGACATTCCAGCAAGGGGCCCAGTTGTACAAGGCACCACCTTTGTTATTTACTTGAGAGATGCTGAATGGTATTATCTGGGTTTGAATCACTCAGTCACCCTAATTATGAGCCTTCAGTTGTCAGCACCATTACATACACTTGTGGGTTTCACAAAACATCCCTGACCTGCATCCCTTCAAACTTTCCTCCTACATCAGGGTTCCAGTTCTCTAATTCACTCTGTGGAGTTCTGTCCCTTGGGGATGCCAGGAACTTGGGTTGTGGGCTCACTTCCTGGTTTGCCCTGTTTATGTTTCAAGGTGTGTCAGCAGCATACCTGTGATCATAGATTTCTCAACAGTGCTAAATGTCTGATACCTACATCACTTCAGGCTTTCCTCCAACATCAACCTGACATTATTATAATACTGTTCAAAGCAGTGATGAACACAACTCACTCTACCTGTGAAGGTCCGGGTTAGAATGACCTTCAGTAACCCATGCTTGTCGTAAGAGGCGACTAACAGGATCGAGTGGTCAGGCTCACTGGCTTGGTTGACACATGTCATCGATTCCCAATTCTGCAGATCGATGCTCATGCTGTTGATCACTGGATTGTCTGGTTCAGACTCAATTATTACAGACCGCTGCCATATAGCTGTAACATTTCTGAGTGCGGCGTAAAACTACACTCACTCACTCACCCAACTCACTCACTCACACACACACAGACTCCCTGGTCAAGGTAACATTCCATGACAGATTCCCACAGTATGTTGATTTCCTTCTTACACTTGTTATTAGTAACAACTTTCATCTGTCATGTTGCATTGTAAACCTAAAGGAAATAACACGGAATTTGAAATTATATGAACAAAATGGAGTTTGACATAGGATAGCTGGAGAACCAATGTAAAACAATATGTGTCTGTTAGGTTGATTCCTTGATCACAAACAAGACAATTGAGGACACGCATCTTGGGGAGGAGGCGACTCGACTCTGGAGGGAGATCCACGACAAGTCCTACGTGTTTGATGTGCTGGAGAAGGAGGTGGGTCTATCAATGTAGACAGCATGGTCTGTAACTGTCCAAATAGTGGTACATGGATTTTTGTTCCTGGTTATCTCCCCTTGGAAATGTGTTAAAGTAAGCCACAGACAGTATCTTGAATGAATGTGTGCAAAACAATTGCCTGAAAATATTTTTCTCATTTATGGGTAGCTCCCTTTTATCTGAAAACAATTTGGTAAATTTACTTTCTCAGAACGCTTTGTTTTATGAATAGAAACATAGGTTTTCGATGTATGTTCCACACATTTCATAATATTGCCTTCTCTTAAGATGGACATTACATGAAGCGTAACATATGTTATATTTGGGATTACACTTTCTTAGTCAAGTACAAATATTAGTACTTTTGGGGTTGAGTCCCATATGGGATTCGAACCCACACCCTCAGAATCAGGCACCTACTCGCCAGCACACAAAGTCAGCCGCCTAACCCGCTCAGCCACCACGACTTCCACAAACATGGAAATCGGACAACTGGTAGTCTGGACTGCGGACTTTGTGTACCCCTCTGATAACTGTACATTGGCACGGCTCCCACAGCCGAAAGCTATGATTACACAATGCCATATAGAAAGTGGTCAAATGTAACATATGTTATATTTGGGATCAATATCTTGTAGAGAAATTATTGAGAGTTTTGAGATGTACCGATATGTTCACAGATTGCGATACTGCAGACTGTGACACAAGATGAACTCAAGGAGTGGTATAACCAGTACATAGATGCCAGACAGAGGAAACTCAGCTTGCAGGTAGGTCAGCCGCTTCTCGCTCTGAGTAACATTCACAAGAGAAGGTGCTAAGAGTATGCAAACAAACCAAATGGTAATAAATAGATAATCTAGAAGTGGAAGACTCCCATGGAACTAGCTACTAGTGTATATACAACATGGATCCCTTCAGCTTGACTTGCATGGGTCAGCACCAATCCCCAGTGGTGACATGTCTGAAATTGGTTTGGCTACTTGTTCAGACCTAAAAACACAGATTCACAGTTTGTGAAATCAGCCACTAGTTCTAAGCCTGAGTCTAGTGACATTATGTTCAGTCTAGTAAGTTCAGCTATTAAAATCCATACAGTAACACTAAAATGTACTTAGAATGATTCAAAGAGCCAAATTCTGGGTGATAGACTCCAAACTTATTGTCACAGACTGCTTCAGAACAGAATACGACAAATCATTACATTTGCTACAAAATATTACAAAGTTGCTGATACAGCTGAAACCACTATTCATCTCATACTATTCCAGGTTGAAGGGAAGACAGACAGCAATGATGTACCCACAGAAAACAAGGGCGGGGAAGGTGAACCAGATGTGCCTGAGAAGGAAGCACAAGCTCTGGTGTTCCTGCAGCCAGAGGTTAATGGGGCCACCTTCATCACAGACATACCTCACTTGAAGCAAGGACTTGCTCAGTTCCCATACACAACAATCTCATTGTGACAGAACCAGTCGTTTAGGCAGTTTTAAAGCATCTGTGATCCTATTTTACTTTTAATGTCAACAATGAGGGACTTTTCTGTTATGAAGAGCTCAAGGTTTATTTATGTCTTGATATGCAACTGAACAACTGCATTGTCATACATGATCGTTAAATTTCATGATGAAATGAAAAAGATGTGTGCTAGTACGCAGTGCTTCTGTATCACCCATTTGTTGATATTTACATTTGTTGGAGCTGTCCCAGAGTCCAATTGCCCTCAATTGTAGTTATTCTTGGTGGCCTATGCGTCGAAATGGCTAGAAAAGTGCTAAAAGTGGTTCAAAACCTACTTGCTCACCATTTTCACTGTATGAGTTGCATCTGGTGTTGGTTTCCTTCCAACATTCCTTCTGAAGGTGATGAAGCAGTGATACCATGCATGGATCACTGTGAGGTGTTGGAAAGTCTCATAAATTTACCCATCCCCTGTTAGCCAGTATGTTTTATCTTCATTCAGATAAATACCTGGACTCATTTTGAACCATACTAATTATTTTTTTGTCTTGTGACAACATATGGAAAACTAAGAATAACTCTCAAAACTAATTTCACTTTTCTTCCATGAACAAACCATGCTCGACTCTCCTTCATACCATCTTAACTACATCCTGGAATGTATTAGTGCTTACCTTTTGTCTTACCATTTTACCCTGTCCCAGAAAGGGATCTTACCGGCGTGATTATTAAAGGTCACATTGCTTTAACAAAGACTTACAACAAATTGTGGAGCTAAGATCACATTGTGGAATGGTAACCAGGACATGTTCAGGTTCTGATTTGACTACGTTTGTGAAGGACTGGCCCATTTAGACTGATTATATGATGTTCATGCTGATGGGTATATGATAAGGTGGTGCAAAACAAAGCCATGGTGGCAAATGGGTGCAGGGAATTCAATATAACAGAATTTAACATGTCTTCTTTATGCAAACTGAACAAAGCTACACCATGCCATTTAGAAAGTGGTCAAATGTAACACATGTTATATTTGGGATTACACTTTCCTATTAAAGTACAGATTCTAGTACTTTTGTTGGGTGGAGTCCCATCTGGGATTCGAACCCACACCCTCAGATTTCGGGCACCTAATCGCCAGCACACAAAGTCAGTGGTCTAACCTGCTCGACAAAACAACAAACAAAAGCACTAGAATCTGTATTTCACTAAGAAAGTGTAATCTCAAATATAACATGAAACAAAGCTTAAGTTATTGACCTACAAAAGAAAAGTACTACACAGTTGCAGAAATGCACGACCCATGATGGAATGTACAAAAATAAAAATGAAAAGTAGTATTTGTGGTCACAGTTATGACATTTCATTTTCATTTAAACAAAGTAAGAGATTATTCAAACCAACATACAGAGCGTTGGTCTTCGATAAGGTTGTTGATGAGTAAATACCAATTGTGGTCTTGTGACTGTTTGAGTCTGTCAAGTAACACCAAGTCAGATATGTGGACTACAGTCGGCATCTGAAGTTGTCAGTTTCTGTATAGTTCAGGTGAAGACCTGCTAGTTTCTGCAGCAAAGTACAATGAATTAATCTGAATGAAATGAATTCTCAACTTACTGCTGTTTTCTGTTGAGAACATATCTTAACATCTTCACTTCATCTTTGAATGGAAGTATGGATACATGTGAAATACTTATATTTTATGTTTGTTACAGTTCTGTCCATACACCCAATAAACTAAAGCAATAAATACTGAACTTGTTTTGGTATTCTTTAAGAGGGTAATGGCAAGTCTCAAACTTGGGGAATACACAAGAAAACATGGTGTTGTTGTTTGTTTTATGCTGCTCTCAGCAATATTCCAGCTATATGGCAGTGGTCTGTAAGTAATCGAGTCTTGACCAAGTCAGAAAGCCTGACCCATTGATCCCATTAGTGTTATCTCGCGCAAAGCATGGGTTGCCGAAGAATAATTTTGACCCAGATCTTCACGGATTTAACATGGTGTGAAACACTCCCTCCTTTGAGGTACACTTTCAGTGGGTCAACTTCTCAATGACAGCTTTACTGGATATTGTGGATAAGGCATTGTACATCTTACTGGCAAACAAGGATAAGTAGGACCGGCGCAGAGAACGCATTTACGAGAAGTAGGCGGTGCATGGCAATGAGCAAACCCATTTGGTTTGTGAAAGGTAGAGCAGATGTAGGCTAGTGCACGTGCATGACGATGAAATTGATTCCGCATGTAGCTGCACACACTTTGCTCATAAGACTCATATGGTCGGTGTAGCACTACACTTGATCGCGGACAACCTGGCAAGCATCTATCCATGTTGGCCAGTTATCCATCATAAGGAGTTTTCAGTGAAACTGAACACTTGTCTGTCGAAGTATTGTTTCCAAATTTGAAAAACATGGCATGATGACATGAATATTGCATACATTATGTATAGCATTTGATAATTGAAATAATTATCGGAGTTAATTTGGAAACATTCATTCCCATGAAACTGACCATGGAAGAACATAGCAATGTCCCATGGCATCACACTATTAAAGAGTAGGTGATGTTTGTCTCATCACACATAGAAAGACGGTACTGCAGTAAGTTATTGACCACATTTTGTATTTATGATGTCAATAAACAATATGATCTCACAATGAAATGATGACATTTGAAGCTTTTGTTCCCAATGTCTGGCCACCAGATGCACAATTCCCTAGTCTCCTGTATCCAGAGATGTTTGTTTAACAATGCGCTTAGCAATATTCCATCTTTATGAAATAATCCAGTCTGGACCATACAATCAAGTGATTGATATTGTGAGTATAGATCCACACAATGACACTCCATCAAACACAAAGTTTGACAACTAGGTCCATTAAGTAACCTCTTATGATGATGAACACAGCATGATAGGACCTATTCTATCCTGGGAGTCCCCATGGGAAATATGAATGAAAACACAAGCCATGTTTGTATGCTATAAAACAGGTTTACTGACATTTGTAAAACCAACCCCTACACAGGTCAAGAGAAGCTTCTCCCCTCCCTCCTGCAGCCCCTCCTCCTCCTCTGGGCCATGACTCTGTACATCCACCTTGAACTGAACCTGGAAGAACTGGTGGATGTCTCGCAGGAACTGGATCCTGAAACAAGCATTATAACTCTACATGGGTCAGCCTCAGTTTCCAAATGTGGAGTATCTCTATACTCCTCAATTAAGTTATGGGTCACCAGATCCTTTCATATTACCATAGTTGACCTCAAAGTGCATGAGAACTGTAGTAATTTGACAGAACTGGTAGTGTTTAACTTTTCAAATTATGATAAATATCCTGGCAACACTGGTACACATACCCACCTTATGAAGTGGATCATCATCTCCAATCATAACTTAGTACCGGACTCTCTCACATGAGTGAAATTTGTCTGGATGGCTAATTGTTAATGAAGGCTTTAAAGCTCATTACTATTTTAACGCAGTTCATTGTACACGTTTGCAAAGACGTATGCAGTAACATGACTAAGCTTTACATTGGTGATGTAGACAGTGTTCACATAAGTGTAAGACGATAGGGTTCCTGTCTGTATTTTTGAGACATCCTGTTGTCCCAGAACCATGAAGAGGGCGGCCATACTCTGATTACTGGAGTCAACACAGCCACCCTGAAACAGTGAGTGAGTGAGTGAGAGTGAAAGGATGAGTGCGTGTAGGCAAGTGAAAGTGTTTGTAACCCATTCAGCAGTATTGCCTCTTATGACCAACCTAGGTGGCTCTGAGCCGATTCTAACCAAGAACCTACACAGAGTGTGGTGGATATAGCAAGTATACACTTGGAGCACATAAACCAGTGCTTGATCAGGTAGACCACAGCTGGAAGTTCGTGTCCAATTTGTGTTTTTTGTTCAACACCAATCTCAGCAATATTACAGCTATATGACTGGCCTGTGATCAAGTCTGGACCAGATAAACAAGTGACACATATTATGAACAACAAACCATACTGCTGGGGCACAATGACCCACAACCAAGTCACAAGGCATGACCACCCAATACACTATTGCCTCTTCCAACCAACACAGGATGATGGGGAGTAGTTCTAAGTCAGAATCCCCATGGGGTGTGAATCTGAGGGGTACATATCATGACACTACCGACAACAGTGAGATCTATATCAGTTTACCCGGTATATCTCCTCCAGGAGGAGTTTAGCTGTGTTTCTGCCAAGGTCTTCAGGCACTGTTGGACCTTCTGTTGATCCTTTCTCATTGGAGGCTGACTCTGCACACAGGAATGCCCCATTCAGAGTCTCTGCTACTAGAGTCAGTCCAAAGCCTGGGGATCTGGAAGTGTGTGAGTTTGTTAGTTGGGTTTAACACTGATCTGACTGAATGAGCAAGCATGGTTTCTGCAAGAATCCTTGCAATATTACCATGTTGGGAATTGAACCCAAGGCTTCAGGCAACACACTGGATCCTCTACAAGCAGGGTGACTCACCCGTATCTCTGGTAGTATGGTGATATACATTTTGTATCGTACCTTATATCTAACTACAGTTAACTTACTTCATTTGAAGCCTGCTTATTTTCTAAGTTCTTATTGTTCAATGTGCAGAGACCATGATACCTATTATATACTGTGTACCATTGTACTCGGAGGAAAGACATATTTAGTGTACCAGTAATGATAATACAAGTATAACAAGATCCTGATGCACTCATGATGTCTTCAGTATGTAATGATATACATAACACACAATGGTTGTAGTGCATAAGGATACATAATTACAACGGGTGCCAACTGTAACCTACTTTCCAGATGATTACTAGCAATTGCCAGCTTTGACCTACTTTCCTGACAATGATTACCAGCTACAGCCATATGTGACCTACTTTCCTGACAATGATTACCAGCTACAGCCATATGTGACCTACTTTCCTGATAATGATTACCAGCTATAGCCAGATGTGACCTACTTTCCTGATAATGATTACCAGCTACAGCCATATGTGACCTACTTTCCTGACAATGATTACCATTGCCAGATGGCAGCTACAGCCAAATGTGACCTACTTTCCTGACAATGATTACCAGCTACAGCCATATGTGACCTACTTTCCTGATGATTACCAGCTATAGCCAGATGTGACCTACTTTCCAGACAATGATTACCAGCTACAGCCAGAAGTGTCCTACTTTCCTGACAATGATTACCAGCTACAGCCAGAAGTGACCTACTTTCCTGACAATGATTACCAGCTATAGCCAGATGTGACCTACTTTCCTGATGATTACCAGCTACAGCCATATGTGACCTACTTTCCAGATGATTACTAGCAATTGCCAGCTTTGACCTACTTTCCTGACAATGATTACCAGCTACAGCCATATGTGACCTACTTTCCTGATAATGATTACCATCTATAGCCAGATGTGACCTACTTTCCTGACAATGATTACCAGCTACAGCCATATGTGACCTACTTTCCTGATAATGATTACCAGCTATAGCCAGATGTGACCTACTTTCCAGATAATGATTACCATCTATAGCCAGATGTGACCTACTTTCCTGACAATGATTACCATCTATAGCCAGATGTGACCTACTTTCCTGACAATGATTACCATCTATAGCCAGATGTGACCTACTTTCCCGATTGTCCGCCCTTCCTGTGGTCTGTGTAGATGTAGATGTCTGGCAGGAACTGGTTCAGCACCCCTCGTGTTGACTCCACTATTCTGTTGGTGATGGAAGGTGACACTCTTGTCGCCCACCTGATGATAGTTAAGTTTCTCAAACTTGCAAGTTAGCAATCCTGGCCAACAACCATGATCGAGCCGGAAGTTTTTCAACATTGATAATATTTACCAAAAATACACTATTGAGATATTATACTGATGTTTTGTTGTTTACTGTTCACAGTATATAACTTTTGATGAATTTTGCTCTGCTAAACAACTACTGGCCATGAGACAACAGGTCAGCAGCTATTTGCAACACTGTTACTCTCTGTGTCAAGGATACGCCACACCTCTGATCCGCTTGACTTTGCCTGCCTCTGTGAACAGTATGGGTCGGAGCTTCTGACGACATGGACAACACAACACAACCTCCCCTCCACCATCTGGGGCTGCACCACGCCGAGTCACCTAGCAACAATGTGAACAAGTTACAATATCTTCATGAACATTACAGTCTGTTTGAGTCAGAAACGGACCGATGAATTGCAAATTTTATCATTGTACAAAATTGCCACATAAATAAAAATAAATAGTACACATGTATATCATGTACTAATACCCAACAGCTTTCTTATATTTGAAAATTTTCCGGACTCCACCAAAAAAGTTGTTTAAGAAACTATCATCATTGAAAATGCAAAAGTTGTTATCTGTCGCAGCGGGGTAAAACCGAAGAAACGGAACAGCCACTATCTCGTCGTGCACGGGATACACATGCCTGATGAAAAATGAAGTTGAATGCTGACGTGAAACAGTTGATGATTAAAGTGTACGATTTTTTCCGTGCTGAAGCTGAAAGGGGCAAACCATTTTATGCCAATAATAAATTCCGTAAGCGGGCAGCAAAGCTTTAGGAATATCAGCAAAGGGTACTGACAAATGTTCTGGAACACAAACATTGTGAGGGTGATCTCTGCGAAGCAGGTAGGGTCGTGGTCAAAATCACACAAATTAAAACATTCAAACAACTTTCAAAAAGAACCTTGTAAGGAAGTCTATCAACAAGCTCTATTCTGAAAACAAATACATGTCGCTGACAATTTTTAAAAAGCATTTGAAGCAAGAACACAACCTCAGAGTATCAAAGTACACACTCTGGCTTAACTCTTACACTCTTTAGGGTATCATTACAAGAAAATTTCGGGGGAGAATAGGTCAGTACTCTGTGAACGCCCTGATATCGCTCGCTTGAGAAATAATTTTCTCGGGTTATAAAGAAGAAGCGAGGAAGGGTTGGAGCCAGTGTACTTGGACGACCTGGGTCAATGCCTCGCCTCGCACACTGCCAGTAGTCAGTGGGTACCGATGGGGGTGATAAGGGGTCACGTAGAAAGCTGCCTCTAGGGAAAGGAGAGAGACTAATCATTCTCCATGCTGGTTGCTCCAGCAAAGGCTTTCTCCCAGGCTGCGACTTGGTATTCAGGGCAAAGATAACAGAGACTACCATTTCGAGATGAATGGTGCGGCTTTCCTCGATTGGGTTAAAAACAAGTTGGTACCAGCTCTACCAGAGAAGTCTTTTATCGTAATGGACAATGCCCCATACCACAGCGTGCAGGACCCCGACAGTAAAGCCACGACATCGAACAGTCGAAAAGGTGATATGATATCATGGCTTGACAAATTTCAGATCGCACGGCCTTCAAAGGCAACGAAGCCTCAGCTATATGAGATCATAAAAACCCACAAAGGTGAACCTTTCTACAAAGTTGACAGTTACATAAAAAGTAAGGGTCACGATATTCTGCGACTTCCACCCTATCACTGTGACCTTAACCCCATTGAAATGATATGGGGTATTGTCAAAGGAGATGTTGCCAGATCAAACACAACTTTTAGATTACGTGACATAGAGGTTTTGGTTAAGGAATCCCTTAAAGAACCACTAAACTTTGTTTTTTGTTACTCTTTTAACCATTACATATGAAAGATTTGTGGTTAGTCTTATGCGGAACACCAAATTTATTCTTTAAAAACTTGTGGTTAATTAATACCGAGCGATTAAAAGTGTCCAAAAAGTCGCCTGCTTCCCTCTCGCCCGCCAACGAAACCACAGACAGTTTACGTAACTCTGTCGCCAGAGCACTGCAGTGACGTCATATGAGGAACGATTTTCAGTTAGTTGTATAGAAAGTGTGTAGCACGCTCATCATTTTGATGATTTCGACATGAACGACGACATACGCCTAATCGCTGCTTTGTCGTCAATTGCTCCTAGGGTCGGGTGATGGTGTCACCATGCACAGATTTCCACAGGACCCGCAGTTCGTGCTAAATGGGTTATGTTTGTGAGCGCGGTTTAGCTTGTGGAAGCCTGAAACGATATCTTACTTGTGTTCAGATCGCTTCACGGAAGTTAAAGAATCAAAACTACTTACTAGTTATAGTAAAATATGTATATGATTGATGACCATAAAGATTTTCCATAACACAACTTGTAACATACTGATTTCTTCCTCGAAGTGAGGTTGTGGTCGGCAACAATAATATTGTAAGTAGTATTATATTGACACCCACCTCGCTGCCAGGAGAGAAATTGTTATGTTATACGCTATGTCATGCAAAATCCTATTGGCCATCAATAAAATACATATTTTTACTATTAATAGAAAGTAGTTTTGATTTTAGAACTCCGGTGAAAACAAACCTAAATAGCATTTATCCACAGACTGGCGGATGTTCCCGACAGGGCGCCATTTTGAAAATCGTGAAAGTCTGTTAGAATTAATGAGATTATAGTTTGTTTTCATCAAGTTAAAAATCAAAACTACTTTCTACTCGTAGTTAAATATGTATTGGAATCATAACCAAAATGATTTTGCATGACACAACTTATAACATATCGATTTCTTCCAGGTGGGGGTCGAAGCGAGGTGGGGGTCGAAGTCACAATACTGCACGATAAATTTCTTGCTACATTCACATGGTTAATGTCCACTCACCAGTATGTAGATACTAGTCAATGTGCGTCTTTATATTTGGTCTTATAATCCTAAATAGTTTATTATCATACTTTTATGCATTTTGAAACTAAATAAAAAGCTGACGATCTGCTGATACTTATAGTGAATTTATAACAGAACTGTAATATCTAGACATTTTATAGTTTGCCAATGTGAATCATAATTCGCACACACACCCTAGTGTATGTTGTCTGTCTCATTACACTTCACGGCGAAAACAATGATTCTGTTGAATGCTACGACAAAAGAATAAAAAACAAAATGCAAATATTAAAATTAAAACAGATTAAAGTTATAGGAACAATATCAGGCCATTACCTTGTTTGAGGAATGTATCCATCAATATCCACAAAACTGTTCCAATGATGTGTCTTTTAACAGTTTAATATACGAAAAAGTGATAAATCTTTTCAGGTATTGGTGTATAGTCTCATTGGTCACCCAAGATAGTAATTTAGTTAGCCAATAATGGGCAATCAATCAATGTATTGCCGGTTAATCCTTTGAAAGAAGGACGTTGTTTTTACGCAGACACCGACACGGCAGAGTGTATTCAGTATAGATTAGTAAATCTAATTACATAAACACTACCTTTTGACAAATTCGCTGTGTAAGATAAAAGTAATTAATCAATCAGCGTGTTATCGGTTAATCCTTTGATCGATGTTTATAATGTTGAATATTTACTCCAGACACAAGAAATGCCAAATGGGAACCTTTGTCGGGTAATCTAAGTGTGTTACCACTAATTATACCTGTTATAAATTCATTAACTGACCATCAAGTGAATGATGACAAATAACATGTGTAGGTTTATTCCACCTAACACGGGTTACAACAAGGGAGTATTAATTGCTGTATTGCATGTGAAAACTTATGGGCCGACACTGTTTTGAGAATACAAACAGATTTTTACATGACATGATTAAATATCGAGGTAAAAACACAGAAATGGGATCAATTTGGATCAGTCATTATACAAATAGGGCCTAACGACACCAATCAATTGTGACAGAAGCGCCTATGAAAACAAGTTGTAACTCGAAACTAGGCAAAGCAGGAGACAAAATTAAATGCCAGTAGATTGTGAGAACATATAGCTTTCATTTTCCACAACAATTGTCACGATTTCAGGTTTATACAAGCCTGTAAACAAGATAATTTGCCCCCTAAAATGTAGATGAATTCTGCATCGGCCCTCAAAGCTATTCCTCATATGACGTCACAGAGTCGCGCCGCTCTGATTGGTTGAAATTTCGTTCGCGGGTGAGAATTGTTCACTGTTGTCAAAAAGGTCGATTTAAGTCAATTAAAGGTCGAAATGAGTAGTTTTAATGACGGGGTTTCATTTATAACGATGCCAGGTAGTGATTTATGTATTTTAACCCCCTAGGGTTTATGTGACCTTTAACAAAATCACGACTGAATCTTTGCAAAACTGTGTCAACAAGGTAGCTAACGTCATTGAACAAGGTTACTGGTCTCGGGATGGCTTACAACAGGCAACTGTGGCACCACTTGTCATCCCTTTAAGTCGTGACTATGACACTACGACAGACAAGGAACCGACAGGTCTCCCGGAAGAGATTTTGAGATGTCCCCTGCCATGACTGGCTGTTCCGTTTCTGCGGTTTCACCCAGCCGCGTCAGATAACAACTTTTGCGTTTTCAATGATGATAGTTTCTTGGGGTTTTTTTGGTGGAGTCCGGAAAATTTTCAAATATAAGAAAGCTGTTGGGTATTAGTAAATAATAAACATGTGTACTATTTATATTTCTGTGGCAATTTTGTACAATGATCAAATTTGCAATTCATCGGTCCGTTTCTGACTCAAACGGACTGTAGATGACACCATGACAGATTACCTGGCAACAATGTGAACTTGTTACTATACATCCATGATCAGTGACAGCTCCACTATGGGTCATTGGACATATCCATGGCATTTGATTGGGTAATAAGGCAATTCTTTTTGCCTTTATGTTGCCATAAACCTAAAAACATTTAGGAACCAACTATCTTCAGTTTCTTCACTTACTGATAACAAGAGTTGGTTGGGCTTGTGTTGCATCATTGGAGAGGATGTATGCTGTGTCAAAGCCTCAACAGAAGCAAGACATGCTCAAGTCAATGTTCTAATATCACGAACATCATGGCAGCACCATAATGGCTCACCTAGCAATAACATGTTACAATAAGCAACTCGGGAACTGTAATTGGGCATTTATGGCCATGGTGCCCCATAATGGGATGGCGCCAACATAACAAGCCAACACTCTAAGCGCCAGACTTGACCACAACTTGTATCACTGACTGACTGAGTATGGTTTTACGCTGCTTTTAGCAATATTCCAGCAACATCTCGGCGGGGGGACACCAGAAATGGGCTTCACACATTGTACCCATGTGGGGATTGGAACCCGGGTCTTCGGCGTGAACAACTTGTATCAAACAATGTCTTCCTACATCGACAGTCGTCACTGACCTACCTTCAGTTCAAGACCCTCATCTGTACCCAGAAACCTCTTCAACACAGGAAATGTGGACAATTTGATTGAATCAACCTGAAACATGAAACAAACTCTCAATACTGGGATACAATATATTTTTGTGTATATGTAATATTACTGATGCATCTGTATACAGTAGGTTTCTATGTAATATAATCTTACAGATATATCTGAGTACAGTATGTTTCTGTGTATGCTAAATCTTACAGATGGATCTGTCTTGTCATTGGTGACACCCCCGGAGGACAGCTTTGATTGGTCGCTTCATGAACGGTGCCAGCAGCAGCAGCCCCTCGATGTAGTATCCCAGGGATCTCTGGGTGCTGCAGTCATGCTCGATACTTCCCCCTGACAGCAACCCAGGCTGATAAAACACACTAGTTCCTGAATAAACACACACACACATACATCATAGCTTCTGATATAGATTACAGGTAGGATACGATACTGACAGTCTCCTGGAATATCATACTGGTTTTGTTGATAAATCCTAAACAAACTGAAATATTTGATTCTGTCCACAATGGTCAAATTTACTTACCAGTATTTTTTTCTCAGTAGACAAAGTTAGAAATGGCTACAATTGTAAAACCAAACCATTGAGACTGATATAGTAAGAATTATATACTAAGATCAACATGTCTACTGTTAGTACAGTATGAAACAGAATAAGCTTATGCACACATCCACTCAGCAGAGGTTGTTTTGGGGCAAGTTACTGAAAACATGAGTCATTCAAAGTTATAAACAATTAGTATCTAGTTGTATTAATCAGCTGAACTATTTCGCATATAGGCCATTATTACAGGAATAAAGTAGACCAAAGTATATCAACTGTTAATACTTTAATGAAAGAAAGTCACGAGTTTTCATGTATGCGCTCTGGAGACTAACACTTATGTACAAACAAACACATCACTGAATTTCAGAATCATTTAAACATTATTAATAAGGTAGGTCATAGTGTGCATGATTAGAAATGGCTATTTTATCTTGATACCTTCTTTTGTTTAAACCTTACTTAGATTTCACTACTGACCCGTGAAGGTCCGGGTTAGAATGAACCTTCAGTAACCCATGCTTGTTGTAAGTGGCGACTAACGGAATTTGGTGGTCAGGCTCGCTGGCTTGGTTGACACATGTCATTGGTTCCCAATTGTGCAGATCAATGCTCATGCTGTTGATACTGGATTATCTGGTCCAGACTTGATTATTTACAGACCTCCGCCATATAGCTGGAATATTGCTGAGTGCGGCATAAAACTAAACTCACTCATTGATTTTACTACTAGATAAAGTCCAAAGTGTAAGGATATATCACATACCTGTTTCACTCACGATAATTTTTGATCCATTTGTAAGTTTATCAAGAAGCCTGATAAAACTAGCTTCAAAATCTGTGAAAAAATAAGAAAAACATTCATAATATCAGCAGAGTCCACATCTTATCATATGGTCTCTGATACCAGCTTATCATTACTTTTTTTGTTATAAAATGCTATCCTCAGAATCAGAAGACAAATATATTAGATACATGAGATATCACCCATTTAGGGTAAATCTCTCATTACATCCATTGGAAAATGAATGGGACAACCCAAACTGAAGTGGATAATAAATCCCAGGAATAGCCATTAGAAACAACTTAATTACACACATTTTATGCAAAGTCATGCAAATATCACATGTGACTGTACAATATTTACATCTTCCTGGTGTCATTGTTGAAGTCACTCAAATCCTATTGTCAGTAACGTCAGAATGACATCCTACCTGTACATTTGTTTTATGTCATCTTTTAGTAGTGAATTTTCCTGGAGGAGAGCTCAAAATGATCAGTATTAATAAGAAATTGTTACACTGATTTTCAAAATTATCCTCGTTCTTGCTGGGAAAATGCTACATTCAAACACTCGTTTCGTAAAATCAGTTTGATAAAAATCTCCATATAGATGTGTGATTGTGACTAAAACCCAGACATGATTTCATGCAGTGTACAAAATAGTTTCCAAATTCCTGAAAGTTACTAGCCCACAAAATAATTCACTAGCCCGAAATTTAAATGTAGAAACTAAGTAAAAGATTACAAAAATAATTCTGAAAAAGATATTGTCGGCATGATACAGGTTTCATCATTAAGCTGTTAATATGATGAACATTTTTATCAGGCAATAATCTTGCAAGATTTAAATGGGTATCATAACTTAACAAGTCGGAGTGATATATTTACAAAATGACCCCATGCACTAGTCAGTCGGGCCAGTTACTGTGGAGATTTACTGGAAATTTACTAGCCACTGACTAGCGGACCAGTGGCTATTTCGCACACTGATTTCATGACATCACAAGTCCATGGACCCGTTTCACAAAGCAATCGTATCGCTACGACTGTCGTAAGTGTATGTAAAAGTATGGGAGTTACGATCTCTTTAGCGCTACGATCGTTTTGTGAAACGGGCCCATATCTTTTCCATATTCCAACATTATTGTATACCTCTAAGACCAGGGTTGTCATCTGTAGATCTTATTTTTCTTATTTTAACAGTCTTTCCACTCAACGTTGCCAAAACAAGACGTTGGCGAAAGAAATTACACCCTTCGAATGTAAGTGTGTTTGTTGACATGATTCTCTATCCTCGTGGCCTGCACTGTGTTCCGTCTAATGGGTACAGATGGCGCAGAGTTCCAACTTGACAAAACTGGTATAAAGTTAAACTTACTTAGCCGGATAAAGCCAATGCCTTCTATCATTGTGATAATAAAGATATGGCCATTTGTACTCTTTACTTTCAAACAAAATAATTGTCAATTATACAACAGTATACATTACATATAGTAATATTATTGAAATCTTTACAATAATCATTAACAGGTTAAGATGTTCGTGTATTAACATCTTCCGGATTATATCATTTCGTGAGCTCCTTGCACGCACTGCAGTGGTCGTGAAGCACACGAAATGGCATGAACTCGTGCTGTTTGCGAGCTTTGAAACAAAGAGTAGCCTCCCTTACATATTGAGATTTACTAAGCATATTGCAATGTTTGCATTCCCTATGTTATTATGAATCACAGTGAGAGTCCGATGTCTCCCGATTGTGTTTAGTACTGGCTCTCAAAATGCTGAGACTATTTACGGACAGAGAATACGGCATTAACAACCCTCTGATATTATCCAGAGCTGAAACAACTAGAAGAATATTTAGTTTGGAACTTAGTAAACACAGAGATGTCGACAGAGTCCAAAGTGGTGGCATTAACAGCATGGACATTGACTTAATTGAATCAAGATAGTAAGCATTATTATTTTGAACGCTTGTGGTTATAGGTTATATATTTCAAGGCGCCAAATTCTGACGTTAACATTCATTCACTCATTCATCTCATCCTTCACTTTCTATTGCCAACATTTACATGATTAGAAAGTTAACGTAATTAAAATCTGTCTGAAAGATTTGTATCCGAAACATTTCTGAAATGTCTAAGAAACGGAAGAATTCTTAAAGGTTTTCTTTATTTCTGTTTCCTTATTCATGACTATCTGTATGTGGTCTCAATCACAGGGGCTTGTATTGCTGAAAATAATACATCCTGGGTCCTACAAGCGTACACTGATATCCATATACATATCCTTCTGTATATGTATATGGATATCAGTGTACACTAGTAGGACCCAGGACGTATCCTTCTTTATATGTTGATGGATATCAGTGTACACTTGTAGGACCCAGGACATATCCTTCTTTATATGTTGATGGATATCAGTGTACACTTGTAGGACCCAGGACATATCCTTCTTTATATGTTGATGGATATCAGTGTACACTTGTAGGACCCAGGACGTATTATTTTCAGCAAAACAAACCCCTGTGGTCTCAATGCCCACACCACTGTTTAGCTTGTTACGTTTGTTTTCAGCTTGTTATCAGGAAGCTCCACTGGAGGAATATCTGTTCATGATCTGGAGAATTTCAGTGGGAATGTGAAGCACTCCTATAAGTATGTTTGTGGAGTGGACAGGTCCAATAGATACATGCACAAACACAGCATCCAGACTGTTCAGTGGTACCCGTTGGACACGGGCATCTTCACCTCCAGTGGAACTGATAAACTATTGAAAGTGTGGGACACTAACAGGCTTGTGGTGAGCAGTTTCATTGTGTAGTAGTTTGATTATTATGACATTTCCGGAATACTCAGTCATTGGTCTTGTCTGTTGTCTAGTATGATCCAGTCTTGCTGAAATCGTTTTAGAATAGTGTTTATTAAGTTCTCTGATTGCCTGCCAAATTTATCATTTCAAATGACCTTTGGATCAACTAAGAAAAGGAAAACATTAAACAATAAGAAAAATAACTCGTAATTACAACTTAGAACTCAGTATGGTGTGCACAGGTTTTCATAAAAAGAGGTGTTCAAGTTTGTTTGTTTTTTCATTCACAGCCTGCAGATACGTTTGAGTTCAGCACTATTGTATACAGTCATCACATGTCTCCCATCGCCACCAAACACAACCTGCTTGCTGTTGGCTGTCAAGGTTCAACGGTGAAGCTGGTAGATCTGAAAGCTGGGTCGGCAACCCATATGCTCAAAGGACACAAGTCTTGTGTTATGTCAGTCAAGTGGTCTACAAGGGATGAGTTTATTTTGGCAACAGGCAGGTTAGTTAAAATAAACAGTAATTCAGAGGTCTTGTCGTCTTATTGTACAAAGCCCATAGCCCTTATCTTAACAGAATGAAGGTATGATCAGGTGATATCAGAGGTGGATTGGGGATTTTAAAAAAGGGGATAAGCGAATAATACCCAATTGAATAAAAAGAAATTATTGTTTGGCATGTGAATTGTCTTGCATCCCCTGCTCTCCCCCCTGGATCGGCCATTGATACCTAACAATGATTGACTTATCATTTAATAGGATCTGCCATGAAGATTCATAGTTAGAATAGGTACCCAGCAAACTATTCTGGTCATCAGAAGGGACAAAATTGATCTGGTTGCCAGGTTTGGTGACTTGAAATGACATCCTCATATCTCGATTAGTAACAATGTCTATCAATGAGTTATGTCTGGTTTAGGCGCAATTATTTACAAGCCACTGTCATATGGCTAAGATATGAACGAAACACAAGCAAACTTGAGGAGATATTTGAAATCTAACGACGTAGCAATGATGGGAATACACAACTCTCTTTCAGTGCTGACAATCGGGTCCTGCTGTGGGATGTACGTACAGCCAAAGGGCACCTGATGTCTCTAGATCAACACAATGGAGAAGCAGCGTCTTCAGTTGCCAGCTGTAAGTCTTGAGCGAGTGGCTGAAATATCTCAATAGATAATGTGGTTAAAGTGAACTTGTTGAACAACTTGCAGGTATAGCCTGCCAGTCCTGGCAAGTATTTGTTGTTGATTTCCCCATGCGTATCATATAATGCGTATCACTTTTCAGATAAGTATAGTAATACTAGTTTACTAATTGAAATAACTTTTTTTCTTTATTAAGAATCTTTGGGACAAAATATTTGCAAACATCATTCGTTCGTTTGTTCATTCATTCATTCACAAGTAATAACCAATGTTAAATAGTATCATAAAGTTGTACTTCTTGTCTTTAGCCACAACAGCCCACGGTGGACGAGTGAATGGCCTGAGTTTTACCCATGATGGCTTGTTTCTGGTGACATTCGGCACAGACAATAGGCTGCGTTTGTGGAACACATATACTGGAAAAAACTGCATGGTGAATTACGGCTCAATAGAAAATGACAGTAAGAAAAACGTCCAGATTGGTCTGTCCCAAGGTGGCTGCCCGGATGTGATATTTGTGCCAAGTGATGGTAACATTGACATCTTAGATCTTCATAAAGGCGGCTACATCAACACATTGCGAGGGCATTATAACGTTGTGAACTGTTGTCTGTTTAACACTAACAGCCATGAACTGTTCAGCGGAGGAAGTGACCGCAATATTCTGGTGTGGGTTCCCAACACAGACAGTGCATATGATGATCATCTCAAGGAGGACTCTAAGAGCAAACAAGATCCAAGTTTTGTGAAGAGAATAGCAGCCACAGCTGACTCCTGGAGTAGTGATGAAGATGAATGATGAAGATGAATGATGAACTTGTATAATTGGTTTGTCTTTTAATTTATTATGAAGTTATTTCGACTTGTTCTATGCTTTGATAAAATCCTCAAATGACAGCAAGATGATCAAATACAGTGCCACTCTCATCTTTTTCATACATCTAGAACATAGTTAAGCACATCTTAATGATATTATACATTTTGACATAATACATGCATTATATATTTTACTAAGTTTTTATCAGATGTTTGTGTTTCTATTCACAAAGTGACATACTTAATACGAAATAAAGAAACCTAAATGACCTACCAGGGCTCCGTTTCACAAAGCGATTGTAGCTCTAAAGTGATCATAACTCCCATACTTTTACAAAAACTTATGATTGTTGTACTGCTACGATCTTCCTGCACAATGGGACCCTGATGAAGTGATTTGTAACTGTTCCATTACAGTAGTTATTTTTGACGGTACCTGTCTCTCAGGGTCATTAAGTCTGTGACTGTCTTACTCATCATTCCATTGCTTCAGCATGTGTGACTCATGTATGTATTTGCGACCATCTGTGGAAACGTGCAGTGTTCTTGGACTTACCTTTCAGCAGGAGCTTTTCCTATCGAATGACATTTATCAAGTGAGATCAATATCATTTATAGATATTTTGTAAAGATACATGTGGAAGATCTACATGGTAACAAAGAAGGTAAAGATCAGAAAGTGAGTGCATAACTTTTTAGTAAGTGTATATTTAAGGTGTACTGAGCAATTAACTTACAGAACATCACATTAAAACTCCAAACTCAGATTTACTTTCACATGTATAAATTTTCCCTTTCAAAGTGTATTTATGCTATTTATCATAAATGTATCTAAATAATTCTGTTCAAAGAACAAAAGGGAAATCTCAATGTTTCTGTTGTCTTATCAGTAGTTTGCAGCAAATGTGTTTCTACTAAAGAGACGAACTGCAAATACAGCCATTATCCAGTATTAATGTAAAAAGTTTCATTGAAGCATATGATTGGTTGGATTGTTGTTAAACGCCGCAGTCAACCGTATTCCAATTATATGGCGGCAGTCTGTAAATAATTGAGTCTGAACCAGACTATCCAGTGATCAACAGCATGTGCTTCAAATTACACAATTGGGATATGATGATGTGTAAACCAAGTTAGCGAGATTGACCACCTCACCTCTTATGACAAGCATGTGTTGCTGAAGACCAATTCTAACCCGATCTTCACGGGTCTGAAGCATTTGACACATTACCTGCTTTACACCCCTGATGTTGTTCTGTAATCATGTGTACACACAAAGGGATCATGATACCATGACTGATCCGTCACATCAGTGAACATGTCACTGACCCGGCATATGTGAAGCATTAAATGTTTTCACACAAAGTCTGTGTGGAATGATTGACTGACTGATTGATTGATTGGTTGGTTGTTGTTTAATGCACTGCCAGCTATGGTATACGGCAGCGGTCTGTAAATAATCGAGTCTGGCCCAGTCAATTCATTGATCAACAGCATGAGCATTGTTCAAATGGTATTCGATGACATGTGTCAACTAAGTCAGCAAGCCTGACAACCCAATCCCGTTAGGAGCCTATGGGTTGCTGAAGACCGATTCTAACCTAGATCTTCTCAGGTCGAGTGGAATGAATTACATATAGTTAGATTACATGTGAAGTGGACACAAAGGCTAGACACACAAGTATATCTGATTAATTTTCTTGATCATTCTGAATGTTCATTTACATAATCATATCACTTTGCCATGGTAACGGAAACAACAAACATGTCAAGGTAGTATTGTCACAGCATGTTACTTAATATCATTGTTGTTGACGGTATGGAATTTCATTATGTAACCATGGAAACTGTTTGATATAAAGTGTATGAGAAACCTTTCATCTAGTATTGATGTATATATTTGTATGCTTTTATTGTGAGAAAGATTTTCAGATCAAGGAATAACTGGCTAGTACGGGGCATTTTCTATGAAACTGACATTTTTCAACTATCTCAGGGTATATTTCATGTTAAACTGATATGGAGAGCCCTCTGTATCTCAAGATTACATTTCAGTAAACCTACAGGACCCTCAAATTACCTGCCCTTGATTTTCCAATAGAGAATTTGATTTGCTGCTCTGCTCTGCTCAGTCAAACAGACAGACCAATCAGAATGCAAATTACCACAATACTGGGTTGGTGAAAAAGTAACAACACTGTGACCAGTCCCATTGATTGTGACGTAGTCAATAGTGAAAAACTGACTGACATGTTCTAGTAAGCCTTCAAACATCTTTTTGATGGAAAGGATGTCTTCTCGAGTGCTCCCTTACTCATTTCCTTTTTCCTGATCTCAGTGCTAGTTTGCCTGGCAAAATGTGAATGAAAATCAAGGATGAGTAATTTGAGATTAGAGAACACTAGAAACGATCCAGGGATGAGAGTAGGTTCCCTGAAATGCAGATCTGGAGATATAGAGGATGATGTGTGATAGTGTTGTATGCATATTTGTTCATGTGGCATTAAAGTCTGGTGGATGTTTCCAGTCTGGATTGAAAAACAATATTGTAAATAAATAAAATCTTGAAGAAGATATTTCTGTCTTTTGTGTTAGCATTATGACGTGAAATACACCATGCCATTTAGAAAGTGGTCAGATGTAACACGTTGTATTTTGGATTACACTTTCTCAGTAAAGTACAGATTCTAGTATTTTTGTTGGGTTGAGTCCCATCCGGGATTCGAACACACATCGAACAACATGTTTTCTCAATATCTTAAAAGCCTCATTCATCTCCATGTTCCAAGCCGATTGCTTCGCTCGTCAAACTCCCTACTGCTCACGTCAAAACAGCCATGGGATCAAGAGCGTTCTCTGCTGCAGCCCCCTATCTATGGAACATTCTGCCACTCGCCCTAAAAGAAATAGAATCTGCTGACGCTTTCAAAACTGCCCTCAAAACTCATCTTTTCCATAGACATTGTCTACAATCTTTTCTCTTTATAGCGCCATTGAGCAATATGTATTGGAAATAGGCACTATAAATCAATTATTATTAATTATTATTATTATTATTATCCTCAGAATCAGGCACCCAATTGTTAACACACAAAGTCGGATGTCTAACTTACTCGGCTACCTAAATTGTGTCATGGTATCACAGAGGTCCATGGTAAGCTGTTTCATGGTATCCCAGAGGTCCATGGTAAACTGTTTCATGGTATCACAGAGGTCCATGGTAAACTGTTTCATGGTATCACAGAGGTCCAAGATATACTGTTTCATGGTATCACAGAGGTCCATGGTAAACTGTTTCATGGTACCTCAGAGGTCCATGGTAAATTGTTTCATGGTACCTCAGAGGTCCATGGTAAACTGTTTCATAGTACCTCAGAGGTCCATGGTAAATTGTCTCATGATATCACAGAGGTCCAAGGTAAAGTGATTCATGGGATCACAGACATCCATGGTAGACTGTTTCATGGTACCTCAGAGGTCCATGGTAAATTGTCTCATGGTATCACAGAGGTCCATGGTAAACTGTTTCATTGTATCACAGAGGTCCATGGTAAATTGTCTCATGGTATCACAGAGGTCCAAGGTGAAGTGATTCATGGTGTCACAGAGGTCCAAGGTAAATTGTCTCATGGTATCACAGAGGTCCATGGTAAACTGTTTCATTGTATCCAAGGTAAACTGTTTCATGGTACCTCAGAGGTCCATGGTAAATTGTCTCATGGTATCACAGAGGTCCAAGGTGAAGTGATTCATGGTATCACAGAGGTGTCATGGTCATGGAATCCATGTTCAGACTAGTTCCTGTGTGTGTGCAATAATCGTGAACATATTGAACATGCTAAATGCCAGCTCACATCAGGTCTTTGTATGTTACCCTATCCTCGATCCTGTATTTAAGATCAGACAAAAACAAATAGAATTTGAAATATATTACAACATTTTATTGAAAACAACATGATCAACATCAATGTTGTGAACGAGTACTGTAAACCATGACATTTCCACTTCAAACACTGATCCCAAACAGCATTCAATATACTACTGTTTCCTCTGAAACAACAAATTTCATGTTTTAAATGCAATATTTGTCTAAGATTTGGTTAATAATGAATAATAGAAAAGAGAGGTATAAAAGTCAGTATTAACTCTACTTACGAATCAGAATAATTAATAAGAGCCCTAAATAAGGCAAAAAAATAGCATGGTTTACAGTTGTGGAGTGAGAATTCACAATGGATGATGACATGGATAACATTATTGATGATGATGAGATGAGGATGATGATGATGATGTTGAATTGTGGATCGTCGTAACTAAACAGTAGGAACAAATTTATGTGATGTACACATGAGTATAAATATGATTTGTGTGAATATGTCCAAACAACAATACATGTCCAAGAACCATAAACAAAATAAACAAAACTTCCTTTTTGTAAAACGAAAATCAGAATTGTGTCCATGTACATTTGTCATAATCCAAGGTTATCTATATAATCCACGTATACCTTGACACTCAGAGTTGATGAGTTGTTTCCTTCCTAACATGTAGCTTAGAATAAAGGAAATGTTCAGATAATTAAGATATACCGGAAGAAGTAATTCTAGGTAAAGTCAGATCTTGTTAAAGGTTAGAAGTAATGTAACAGGTAATAATAAGAACATGATCTATTTTCCCCTGAAGATTCCAGAATGACCAACAAAATACTATTAATCCACCATTTTCAGAGGGCAGTCTCACCCATTCACACACTCTGACCATGCCTCTCGCTGCTCATGGTATTTTTCTGGCATGTGATTAACGGGCACAGAGCATCAAAACCACTGAATACCTAACAAGCTTTAAATGTTCGTTACCATGGTGAATCAAATCTTGACAGGATTCTAACCCAAGTTTTGCTTTCAAATTGAGAGATGTTGGCTTACCAGTGAGTGAGTGAGTTTTAGTTTTACGCCACTTTTAGCAATATTCCAGAAATATCATGGCGGGGTACACCAGAAATGGGCTTCACACGTTGTACCCATGTGGGTCATCGAACCCGGGTCTTCAGCGTGACGAGCTTACCACAGGTGCACCAGAGACATGCATAGCAATCAGTGCCCAAAACATTGGAGTCACCTAACCTAAATATGTCTCTTACAATCATTTTGAGTAGGGTTTAGTGGTATCATATCAACTGTTACCAGGTGAGCTTACATGAAATTTTACTTGACTCAGGCTTCTCATAAAAACACCACATAAATGTTTAGAATATAAGAAAGCATATCTTCATCACATACAGTCTAAACTGTCATGGTCATTCACTCAATGAAAAGTAATTTCAGAGATTTCATATTTGATACAAGTGTTGATACGTTTTTGTCTGATTTGTGAAACATTAAAGGTTGACCTGAAGGTGAGGGTCACCAGACATGAACTAAGCAAGCAAATATACCAGTACTTGCAGGTGTTAGCATAAGGTGTATTGTATAAAACAAGTTGTATTAAACAGGATTCATCTGATTATGAGGTATTTTCTGATTTCTTTGTCCTAGTATACCAATGATTCTGTTTGCATAGGGAATTTGGGAATAAATTGATGCTACTGTGGTCAACTATCGTCTGAATGTCTAAGAGCTGTACTATATATCTACATGTGAAAACATAAAAGTTAATATTATACTCTGAAGTGTTGTTTCATCATGAATAAGTTGACATCAATAAATTTTCCCCAGTTATGTGATGTACATCTTAATCAAACACTTGGCAGTGAGGTAGCCTAGTGGTTCAAGTGGTTGCTTGTTAAAGACCCGGGTTTGATTCCCAACATGGGTGCAATGTGTGAAGCCCATTTCTGGTGTCCCCGTTGTCATATTGCTGGAATATTGCTAAATGCAACATAAAACCTTTCAAAGACTTGTGGGATTCATAATGTACATTATTTGTCGTGTATGTATCCTGAGAATCTTGTTAAGATAACATAAAAACAGTGATAATCACAACTTGGATTACTATGAAAACTCCAAGCAAATCAGACTCTAGGGCACCACTTCCTGAATACATGTTAACTAAAACCACATTTACCCACAAGAAAGCGATGGTCTTGTATGACAAAAGACAGTGAAAATTAAGGATTGACAGATGTAATACACCATGTAAAAAGAAATATCATTTAATGACATAATTGGTGGGAATTATAGCACCTTTGAATTAACTTCATAATCAGGTCTGAAGGAATTGTCTACTCTGAAATTATTTACACATTCAATCATGACTCTGTGAATGTTCAACAAACGTGTTGATGCTGATGATGTACAATGTAGATTAATGACTGAAGCTGCCAATGTAATTCCTCAAATTGAAAAGTCTTAATATATGAACACAGAAACTAGTCATAATGCAACATGATTGGGAGTGACCAGTCTTCAAACTAATATTCACGGATACTGATGAAATTTATTACCAGTAATTGATATTTAATAAATCTGTGAAGTTTCTTGAATGATAAACTTCAAATATAATAAACCAGTGAATATTAAAATTGGAAATTTTAATATAAATTGTATATTTATATATTTATCCTATCTCACGACTTGCACCTCTCTCTCTTGCTTCGACTTTTAGTGGAACGACTGTAAACTTTTTTCCATAGGCCTCCTTGTCCATTCGCCCGTGCACTCCATGCTGCTCTCCTTAATTAGCTTCCTAGTTCCTAATAAAGTTTGCAGCATGCTCCACTAATCGCCCAGAAGACTACCTTGAATGATCATTCTCATCTTGGAGCGGATGTTGTAATCTGAGTAGTGGGGAGGCCGGGCGGGCATCCATCGCGTGAGATAGGATAAGTATAAATATACAAGTTATATTAAAATTTCCAAATTTTTAAACTTATCCTATCTCTTGCACTTATCCCACGGTTGGAAGGCGGGCCGCAGATTACCCTTCTGTCTGGACAGAGCGTCTTGGAGCTGTGTGGACTGATGACAACCGTAGATAGCGATGTACAAGGGAGGCCTGTTACGCATGCACGCAACTCCTATGCTTGTAGTGGTTTCTCCTGAACCCCTTGGCTTACTACGGGAGATGGGTGCTGCCTAGTGATGTGGTGTTCGGCCGCAACCTTGTACAAGACAAGGGATTTGTAAAGTGATCTGGATCGATTCAATGCACAAACTGGAAACTGTGATCGTGATCTGGATCTATAAGGTGATCTGGTTTGCAGTTGCGATCTGGCTTGATTTGGTGATCTGGATCGGTCTGGCGATCTACTTCGATGTTGTGATCTGGATCGGTTAGGTGACCTAGATCAGTCCAGAGATCTGATTCGAGGTTGTGATCTGGATCGGTCCGGTGATCTGCATCGGTCCGGTGATCTGATTTGAAGTTGTGATCTGGATCCATTCGGTGATCTGGATCGATAAGGTGATCTGGATCTGTCCGGTGATCTGATTCGAAGAAGTTGTGATCTGGGCCCGTTTGGTGATCTGGATCGGTTAGGTGATCTGGATTGATCAGGTGATGTGGATCGTAGTTGTGCTCTGGATTGTGACTGCGATCTGAACGATCCGGTGATCTTGATCGGCACGGTGATCTAAATTGGGCTTTTGATGGTGATCTGGATCGTGAAGGTGATCTAGATCGTTGTGGTGATCTAGAATGATGTGGCGATCTGGATCGGCGATTAGGTGACGAAACCTGAAGTGATCTGACGCTATGGAAGGAGGTGATTGATACGTACGTAATAGGTGCTGAACGTCCTCAGATAAGTAAGAATCTGATGAAGCGTCCATAAAATCCTCTTGAACAACAGATGTCGCTCTCTTGCGTGAAGGTACGATTTTCTGTCGCTGTAACTTGATACGCTTGGCGGGAGTGGGATCAGATTCTGTTGATTTCCTGTCCCTATCGGCGATTCTCCGGGAGCAAACACGAAGGCAGGCCTTACAATCCTCATCTTTTAGTGAATTACACTTGCCACATCGTTTGTTCCAGTTACATTGTCCAATACGGTCACTGCAAGACGAGTGAGGGTCGAGGGATGAATAATTCGTCTTGCACTGAGCACAAACTTTCCTTTTCCTTGACTGATTATCAGTTTTCCCCATGATGTTAGGGTGAAATAATGTCCCTAATATACAGCATGTCCACACAGTCATGCGACAAGAAAGAAAAATGATCATTCAAGGTAGTCACGTGGGTAATAAGTGGAGCATGCTGCAAGCTTTATTAGGAACTAGGAAGCTAATTAAGGAGAGCAGCATGGAGTTCACGAGCGAATGGACAAGGAGGCCTATGGAAAAAAGTTTACAGTCGTTCCACTAAAAGTCGAAGCAAGAGAGAGAGGTGCAAGTCGTGAGATAGGATAAGTATAAAAATTATTCCTTTCAGTGAATTGTTAAAGTAACCACAAACAGTAGATTAACAATACCACCCAAAGATGAATCTGTACCTGCCTGATTTAAAGTATACACATATAACAGCGTGTAACAACTATCAATTGGAACAGACCTGTTTCACTTCGAGCTTGCTACCAAAAGTGTTTGTCAGATGAATTTAGGTTCCCAAACATATATTGACTATGACAGAATTTATTGTCATAAATTATTTTTACCACGTTTTGCATCACTTACTGATAAACGTATGAAGAAAATATATATCGGTTGACAGTCAAATTAAATTTTTCCTGTCATATGGCATAATAGCCTTCCATGTGATCATTCTCTTTCACCTGGTCTCGGGTGGGTGAAATCTTTGAATGACATTTAGAAGTGGAATGCATAAGAAAAGCAAGATATATGAATGTCAACTTCTTTATTCTGAATAACACAATGTTTGGAGTGTATGCTTGCTCCTTCATCAGGCAAGCATACGCTCCGAAACGTCATGTTATTCACAATAAAGAAGTTGACATCCATAAATCTTGCTTTTCTCTGGTGGGTGGTCTAAAATAATAATCTGCAATATATGTGAGACCTTTCCTGGAAGTACTGGTTATCAAACAAAGCATGTAAATAATCCATCAAGAAGGTTAATCCAAATCTTTTGGCATGGACAAAAAAAATTATCCAGCATTTCTCAGTTTGATCATAGGCCTTCTTAGCACGACCATGACATGTCGTGTTCATATTTCTTCCTCAAATTATAGGACAACATCTATACAACACTGTATACAACATACAACTGTGTCAAAATTACTGGTACCGACAAACATTTTCTTGAAGGACATGATACACATTTAGTAATCGAGTCCAGTCCTCGTCTTAGACTGGACACAGTAATTTGTTCTGTTGACGTTATCTGGAGGCGAACCAGGTGAGTGGGGTATCAGTTACTGAAGATGATCACATCTGAGTTTAGTAAAAGGTGTCTTTCAACAGCTTAAATCAAACCTACTAGCTTGCCAATCAGCTTGAGCCCAGTCCCCCTTGGAAAAATGTAGGTTTTCTTTTGCCATTTTATCTGAAGACAAAGATGATTTTAGGAAGAAATATTTTTTGTCATCGTTGTACATTGTGTGTGATTAACCTCAATGTGCTACAAGAATGAAGCCACAATAATGATGTGGCTATGAAGGTTCCAAGCTGCCATTTATGGCAGTGGTGTTTTTAATGGCAGCATGTTTTAGAGAATCCTCCCTTCATTTGTATGCCCATCACTGTGAAATGAGAGTGATCTCCCTTGGAAGAAGATGCGTGAATGCATGAGACGGTAGCCTGCTACAGTCTGCTGACAATGTCGATGATGCCACATGTGCCTGGGTCACACGTCCAGGAAGCCGTCGTTCTCCTTGTCATTGTCTTTGTCACCATCATAAAACTCGTTGGCTGGTTCAACCCTGTAAGAGAGAAACAGTGAGTGAGTGAGTGAGTGAGTAATGAGTGAGTGAGGAGTGAGTGAGTGAGTTTAGTTTTACACTGCATTCAGCAATATTCCAGCTAAATAATCAAGTCTGGACCAGACAATCCAGTGATCAACATCATGAGCATCGATCTATGCAACTGGGATAGGATGTCATGTGTCAACCAAGTCAGCGAGCCTGACCACCCGATCCCGTTAGTCACCTCTTATGACAAGCATGGGTTCTTGAAGATCAATTCTAATCCAGATCTTCACGGGTAGGAGAGAAACACTTACAGTTTGTTTGTTTTGGAAAGGAGGACACATGTGAATAAATGGCATGTAAATGAACATGCTTATAGCAGTAACACCAGGAACCAATATGCGAGATGCAACAAAGATTTTAGCAGCAACCTCATAACAACAAGCATGGGTAGTCAGAGGAAATTGTATCCTGGGCCAACTTATGCAGGCTCAGCACTACGACCATCTGAAGTCTATGTTAGGGCACGGAAGCTATGGTCACTGTAGTGCTAGGATCGTTATGTGCAAAATGATCTTGGAATCCCTGCACTAATAATTACAACAAAAATATGTGAACAAAAATATGTGAACAAACATATGTGAACAAGCTATGGCCTCACCTCTTGTCCACGTCGTCCTGGTGGTTCCTGATGTCGGGGTCCTGCTCCTCGATGTTCTCCAGGTTTAGGAGGTCGGGAGGGATGTCCTGCATCTGGACACTGGGGGCGTGAATCAGGTTCTTCAAGTTTTCATGAATCGTCTGACGTATGTGGTCCAGATACTGCAGACAAGACATCATAACATTATCTAACTCAAAAAGCCACACTTAGTTTGCATAAAATAGCAAAAAATGTAACACTTAATATACTGACACTTTAGTCCCACAATGAAACAATCAATACTTGAATTTGAAGACCATACTTCTGAAAGAAGGACGAGTCCACACAGATGAATGCCTCAAATAATATACTACACTTGTCTATGTTTTTCATAACTGAAAGTCTGAGCTCAAGACAATGTTCTGAGATAGAGGTGCAGATAAAGGTGTCGAGACATTATACACTACCTGCTTTGTGTTTAGGTTTTCCTGTTTTGTAGAAATGTCTGGATGGAGTGAGAAATCTGGAGCAAAGTATTCCAGGTATTCTGTGAAACAAGATCACATAGTCATTATTATATTCATGAAATGCATTGTACATTCACATTCAAGTACATGTAACTTTCATTCACATACATCTCAAGATGTACATATGGACAAACAGAAGATAATTTAATGGCACCAAAATGTTTGTTGCTTAAAGCCAGATTCAGTAATATACAATACATGACAGATGCTTGAAAATGATGAGACCCTGACCAGACAGCTGAGTGATCAATAGCACTTATCCACAATGATGACATGCCATCAGCTGGGTCATGAGGTCTGACTATCTCATCTATTCAGTCCACTCTTACATTAGCTGCTGGGGACCTCTTCTAACCTGGAATTTCCATGTATTTGTTGGTGCCTGAAAGATCATCTTCCTTTGATTCTTACCATTGTAAGGCAGTTCGTTAGAAATCTGGTCGTCCAGTAACACAGATGTTTCATGAGTCCAGCATCGAGCCACATTCCTCTTGGTGTAGCCCCCTCCTCCCAGGACCATCATGGGCAGCCCATACTCCTTGACCACCTTCACACACTCACTGAAACATGAACACAGTTTAATATAGTGTCACACTCACTGAAACATGAACACAGTTTAATATAGAGTCACACTCACTGAAACATATGCACAGTGTAACATAGTGTCACACTCACTGAAACATAAACAGAGTGAAACATAGCATCACTCACTGAAACATGAACACAGTGTAACATAGCATCACACTCACTGAAACATGAACACAGTGTAACATATTGTCAACACTCACTGAAACATGAACACAGTGTAACATAGCATCACACTCACTGAAACATGAACACAGTGTAACATAGCATCACACTCACTGAAACATATGCACAGTGTAACATATTGTCACACACTCACTGAAACATGAACACAGTGTAACATAGTGTCACACTCACTGAAACATATGCACAGTGTAACATATTGTCACACACTCACTGAAACATGAACACAGTGTAACATAGCATCACACTCACTGAAACATGAACACAGTGTAACATAGCATCACACTCACTGAAACATATGCTGCACTGTAACATATTGTCACACACTCACTGAAACATGAACACAGTGTAACAACACATCACTGAAACATATGCACAGTGTAACATAGCATCACACTCACTGAAACATGAACACAGTGTAACATATTCTCACACACTCACTGAAACATACATCACAGTGTATGATAGTGTCACACACTCACACTGAAACATATACACAGTGTAACATAGCATCACACTCACTGAAACATGAACACAGTGTAACATAGCATCACACTCACTGAAACATATGCACAGTGTAACATATTGTCACACACTCACTGAAACATGAACACAGTGTAACATAGCATCACACTCACTGAAACATGAACACAGTGTAACATAGCATCACACTCACTGAAACATATGCACAGTGTAACATATTGTCACACACTCACTGAAACATGAACACAGTGTAACATGTCACATCATCACTGAAACAGTGTCACATACTCACACTGAAACATATACAAACAGTTGTAACATAGTGTCACATCATCACTGAAACAGTTGTAAGTGTTACATTGTGTCACATCATCACTGAAACAGTTGTATACATTGTGTCACATCATCACTGAAACAGTTGTATACATTGTGTCACATCATCACTGAAACAGTTGTATACATTGTGTCACATCATCACTGAAACAGTTGTATAAATTGTGTCACATCATCACTGAAACAGTTGTATACATTGTGTCACATCATCACTGAAACAGTTGTATGTATACATTGTGTCACATCATCACTCAAACAGTTGTATGTATACATTGTGTCACATCATCACTGAAACAGTTGTATACATTGTGTCACATCATCACTGAAACAGTTGTATGTATACATTGTGTCACATCATCACTGAAACAGTTGTATGTATACATTGTGTCACATCATCACTCAAACAGTTGTATGTATACATTGTGTCACATCATCACTCAAACAGTTGTATACATTGTGTCACATCATCACTGAAACAGTTGTATACATTGTGTCACATCATCACTGAAACAGTTGTATGTATACATTGTGTCACATCATCACTGAAACAGTTGTATGTATACATTGTGTCACATCATCACTCAAACAGTTGTATGTATACATTGTGTCACATCATCACTGAAACAGTTGTATACATTGTGTCACATCATCACTGAAACAGTTGTATACATTGTGTCACATCATCACTGAAACAGTTGTATATACATTGTGTCACATCATCACTGAAACAGTTGTATACATTGTGTCACATCATCACTGAAACAGTTGTATGTATACATTGTGTCACATCATCACTGAAACAGTTGTATGTATACATTGTGTCACATCATCACTGAAACAGTTGTATACATTGTGTCACATCATCACTGAAACAGTTGTATACATTGTGTCACATCATCACTGAAACAGTTGTATGTATACATTGTGTCACATCATCACTGAAACAGTTGTATACATTGTGTCACATCATCACTGAAACAGTTGTATACATTGTGTCACATCATCACTGAAACAGTTGTATACATTGTGTCACATCATCACTGAAACAGTTGTATGTATACATTGTGTCACATCATCACTGAAACAGTTGTATACATTGTGTCACATCATCACTGAAACAGTTGTATACATTGTGTCACATCATCACTGAAACAGTTGTATATACATTGTGTCACATCATCACTCAAACAGTTGTATGTATACATTGTGTCACATCATCACTGAAACAGTTGTATACATTGTGTCACATCATCACTGAAACAGTTGTATACATTGTGTCACATCATCACTGAAACAGTTGTATGTATACATTGTGTCACATCATCACTGAAACAGTTGTATACATTGTGTCACATCATCACTGAAACATTGTGTGTCACATCATCACTGAAACAGTTGTATACATTGTGTCACATCATCACTGAAACAGTTGTATGTATACATTGTGTCACATCATCACTGAAACAGTTGTATGTATACATTGTGTCACATCATCACTCAAACAGTTGTATGTATACATTGTGTCACATCATCACTCAAACAGTTGTATGTATACATTGTGTCACATCATCACTCAAACAGTTGTATGTATACATTGTGTCACATCATCACTGAAACAGTTGTATACATTGTGTCACATACATTGTGTCACATCATCACTGAAACAGTTGTATGTATACATTGTGTCACATCATCACTGAAACAGTTGTATACATTGTGTCTCATCATCACTGAAACATCATCACTCAAACAGTTGTATGTATACATTGTGTCACATCATCACTCAAACAGTTGTATGTATACATAGTGTCACATCATCACTGAAACAGTTGTAAAAATTGTGTCACATCGTCACTGAAACAGTTGTATGTAGACATTGTGTCACATCATCACTCAAACAGTTGTATACATTGTGTCACATCATCACTCAAACAGTTGTATGTATACATTGTGTCATTTTGACTAACATTCTGGCATAATGAGTTCCATCTCACCCATGCCCCTTGATACTGAGGTTGAAACATCCCAGTCTGTCACTGCCAAGGGAATCTGCTCCACACTGAAACAGCAGGTGATAAACATGCATTACACCACACCAGCAAATCATGTAGATATAACTTAACAGATACACTTTTTGTTTACTAGAACCTCATCATTTAAAATATTAAAACAGCAGATTCCACATTTCCATGTCGCAGCTAGGCATGTTTTTCAAATCAGCTACAGAGATAGATGTAGAACATTCTGCATCAGCACCTAACCAATAGAGCCTCTATTCTGTATGTCTAGTCACTGCACAACAGTGTGATCTGACTATGTAGACTTGCATTAACTTACCTGTAAGACAACACATGTCGGCTGATAAAACTCCATCACTGATGCAATGACAGGTTTAAACACCTGCATGTATGCTGAAATTGTAAACAAAATAACTCATAACAATCATTAATCAGTGCTGACATGTCAGACTCACATGCATGTCATTATATTTATGCATAGAAATCTCATTATGTATAATTAACATAATGTAATATTTACAAACATGAAGTTATCCATCTGTAGAAGTAGTAGCATTGGTCCATTGCTGTAAATGGATCTTGAAGGGTTGAAACTTCTTTGGAATGTCCACATGAGACTATATATTCCTTCAAGTTGTTTGTTAAAAGATAACTGTATCGACCAAAACTTACTTGTGTCATCTATTCCTTCTTTGAGAGGTACATTGACTGAATACTGCCTGCCACTCTCTGCACCAAGCTCGTACATGTCACCTGAAAATCAGACACATGCATCGTGACAATCACACCAGCTGCTGAACTTATGTCTCATTTGAAATATGAATCTCTCAGTGTCAATCTGCTATGAATAGGCAGTCATACTTTCCACAGTGTAATCATATCGCATTGAGCAGTTTTTCAATTTAATCTACTAAGCAAGGGATGCAGCGTACCCTAAATAATTCATTTCAAGTGTCCTTACAGAACATAAGAAGGCCCTGTAAAGTAATGAAATTGTTGAATGACCAGTTGAATTCCTGTGAAAAGTTAAATCTGGGAGCGTTGTTGTACTCACCTGTTCCTGGGAAGAAGAAGTTGCCATATTTATGGAAGGAAACTGTCATCACTCTGTCTGTGAGGTAGAATGCTTCTTGGACTCCATCTCCATGATGGATGTCAATGTCAATATACAACACTCGTGGGTGATATCTGTAATTAACACATGTCAATACTCAACAGTTGTGGTGATATCTGTAATTAACATGTGTTAATATACAACAGTGTGTGATAATATACAACACAATATCCAACAGTTGTGGTGATACTTGTGGATGATATCTGTAATCATTAACACACAACACTTGTCAATATATACAACACTTGTGGTGATATCTGTAATTAACACAGCAATATACAACACTTGTGGGTGATATCAACGCTAAGCAACGTTGGGCGCGGAGAGTCCTTGGATGGACTATTAACCTTCTAGCACCTCACTGGCAGCTTGGGTTATCCGGGGTAATAATAACCAGATTATATTTGTGCTGGATTTAATCGCTGATTGTTTCTAACTACTGTGATGACAACAGTGTTACACTCACATAATTAGTATTATGGGAACGAAGGTGCACAGTACTTACTTCAACAGTTCGAGGATGGCAATGACAATATCGTTCACATAACAGAAACCAGATGCCTGGAAAAGACATAAAACTGTTAGCTACATGTTATACATCGGATACCACAAAAGCTGTGTCATTAACACTACATTCTAAATATATGTATAAAACTTGTAACAAATTGAGTGATTATCTGGGCATGCTACAGAGGTGATTCACTGCTATGTACAGCTTAGCTTGTACTATTTGATGTCTGCTGGTAACTATTACATAGGTACAAGTCCATCAAGATCCTTATAGATGCTGATACTGATGCTGTAATGACAGTCACAGGCTCTGTCAGCATGCTCAGTACAAGTCTTAAGAGTATCATTAAAATGTTCATAATTTCCAAACCATTTACTTAGTACACCACCCAATTTAACTGTCATTATTATTTGAACTTTAAATTACAAACAAGGTCAGTTGTCATACCATGTAGCATCCTGCAATATATGGAGCCTATGGATATAGTCATGTTACCTCATACTTCTTGGCATGATGCAGACCCCCTGACCAGTTGACAGCAATATCACAGTGCTGCACGGGGAGAAGACAAAACATCAGGGAATGGTCAATTTTACTGATATCTCTTGATAATTGTCAGGAACAATTAGGGAATGGTCAATTTTACTGATATCTCTTGATAATTGTCAGGAACAATTAAGGAATGGTCAATTTTACTGATATCTCTTGATAATTGTCAGGAACAAGGCAAATCAGACAGTCTGATGAGTGACTTCCCAAAGGTCTTATTGACCTTCAGTTGACTCGAATCATTTTACACGTGTCTTCATATGCCCGAATTTTTTAAGGTTTGGACTAACAGATTCAAATGTTTCTGCATAAATTATGTAGTCTATTACTGGGTCCCAATCCACAAAACTTTCATAACGTTACCGCTCAGGATGTCAGGGATTTCCTTAATTCCATTCATAATTTATGACACTATCTAACATGAATAAAAGATTAAAAATGTCAAACATTTAACTCAATCCACTTTCATGGTCAAACAACATTTTATCTTGTCTGTACTTACATTGTTGTTGAGTTTGACTGCCCCTTCTAATGAGGCTCCAGTGTACATTGCACAAAAGTCAAACAGTCCATCAAACACTGGACTGAAAAAAATAATATCACACATGCCATCACAGGTTCTCAACATGCTCAGATGTACATCATTCTACACAAAAAACACTTTTCTTTACTGCATCTCAAGATAATTACCAGGGTTTTAAGGGACGCAGAAATTTGAAGATGTACCCCCAAACTAAAATCATGTGCGTCTCTGTGGACGGAATATAATTTTATTCTGGGAAAGAACTTTAAGAATTTGTAATGATATCCTATATTAAAATATGTCATTTTTTAAGTAAAATTGATATTTTATACTTATCCTGACTCATGATCTTTTGCTTATCTCCCTTTCCCTTTTCGAATGGTAGTGGAACACTTGAATCCCTTGAAGTTCCCTAAGCGGACGTATAAATACACTCACCCACGAAGTTACCTCCCTTTGCCTTTTCCCACGAAACCAGTCATGTGACATGCCTTACCCATGCACTTGGATCTGCTGTGAAATCTCAAGTGTCTTCAACGGGGAGGTTGGGAGGGCTTCTTCGTCATGAGTCAGGATAAGTATAAATATCAATTTTACATAAAAAATTACATATTTTTCCTTATCCTGACTCATGATCTCTTGCTTATAGAATCCTACGGATATGTGTGGGTCAAGCCTCTGGATTCAACAGCTGTCCTCAGATACGTTCTGTATCCCCCCCATGGGAACTGCGAACGGCATTTCCATGATCCTATTCTTCCAACTTCCGTTATAACTCGGGGGGACCACTTTCTTGCCTTACTTCAATCTCAGACAAGTTCAATCATGTTGATTCATGTGGCTACAGATAAACTAGTATTCTCCTATTACTAGATATCTTATAACAACCCATAGATTATGATAAGATCTTTATCATAAATGAGTTGCGACCCCTTCACGTACAGGTAAGATCTTTACCCGTACAGGATCTTTAATCACTCATGCTAGCCGGTCTTAGACTGTGCGCATGGGCTTTCAAACTAAAGTACTGTCGGAAATAAAAAACCCTGTTTTTTCACATTTATATCTATAATTTAGGTAGTTAATATGTGAAAATGTGAAATATCTGTTGAACTAAGTTCGGCCTAACTACAGTCTCAGTGGTAGGGAGATAGGAAACGTTAAAAAAGGATTTTACTGAGGAGATATTAGTGCAGAAATGAGCAATGCGGTTATTTTCAAAGTCCGAAGAGACTTATTTGGAGCAGACCATGGCTTTATGCAAATTAGTGTGCGATGATATTGTATAACAAATGACACTTTTTGAATGTCCATTTTAAAATTAGACTTAGCTTCATAAGAAACGATAGCAGACGTAAAAAATAACAACTTTAATACAGAAACTATTAAGGATATAGATACCATTGAGTCTCACTATCACTACAAAAAGAAACAGGTAGGAGGGGTCGTCTCAAAAGCAAAACCAAGACGGGTGTTGTTGACGGCAGTTGGGTTTGGGTTTGGGGATAGAGATATTAGCTAAGATTAGAAAATCAGTCGAGGCATGTTCAATACACATGAAAAAGCATAAAACATATTTGAGATGACCCCTTGTGTCTGTGGGCAGCACGTGCATTTCATGCCAAGTGAGTTGATGGTCCGTCGTCATACCTGGCTGAGCGACCTAATTGCCATCTATAGTCTGATCTATTGTTTTCAGCAGCTGTTCGTATTTTTTCTAAGTTTTGCCCGATTTTACTAGTAAACATGCTTTTCTGGATGTCCTATTACACATCCCACTGAACGCCCAGTTAGGCCGATGTGGGTTATTTCGACATATGCTATTTGCAATTGTGTAAATTTTAAGGATACAGAGTAACAGCCTAAAAACAGTTTTTTTCTATTTCCGACAGTACTTTAGTACTTTTCCTTAGTAAAAGTTATCAACAAGTCAGCGTGATAAAGGGTGAGATTTTCCAACTCAGCGCTTTTGAGGAACCGTTAGTTGTTGTGCTACAACGAAATTGGTGAATGCCTGAGACGTCTTCAGTGGCTATGTCTCGGAGGTAGTGGTTAGCAAACACCGTGTCTGACTTCCAAAAGCAGCCCTCCATAATTGTCGGTATAGAGCAATTTCCGTGCAGAGCTAATGTTGACGTCTAGGAGGTTCAAGTCCTGCTGCTTTATAGGCTCACAATATAACGGCTCTCATCCAGAACGATATGGTCATTCTTGCCGAAGTCTCTGTTGATAATGGGATGAATAGGCGCTTGAATTTTTGTCTCCTCGTCTCAGTCTTTTGAAGATATATCTTCAGGGCTCTGACTGGACACAAGGATAAGTCCTCTATATCCTGTGGACCGAGGACTGTAGACAGCGCTGGTACGTGGAACTGTCTATCTGGTTGACCAGGTAGCTGGTTCTTGGCAATAAAGTCCCATCTAAGTCCTAGATGAACTGCATTATGTTGCCCTCTGTCGAATGTGGTTCGACCAAAGTCCAGTGCATGTATCTCCGATATGCGAGCTGCTGTGGCTAACGCAAGCAGGAACAGCGTCTTCTGTGTTAGCAGCTCGAGTGTAATCTGATCTAGTGGTTCGTAGACATCACTGGTAAGATGACGCAGAATTACATTTAGATCCCAGGCTGGAGCTCTGAATTTCTTTTGCTGGTCCTCCAGCTTAAAAGATCTCAGCAGAGTAAGTAATTCTGGTACTTTCATCAACTTGATGCCTGTTTTCATCGTAATCACTGTACTGACTGACTGACTGAGTTTGGTTTTACGTCGCTTTTAGCAATATTCCAGCAACATCACGGCGGGGAACACCAGAAATGGGCTTCACACAATCACTGTACTGATTGCAGCGAGGTATGTAGATAGTGTCGAACCCTTGAAGGCTTCAGATGTCTGGTCTGTCTAAGATGACACAGATATTCGGCCACTTGAGGATGAGTGGCTATCATCGCTATGAAGCCTTTCCGCCTTGCATAAGTCTCAAACTTCAGGCATTTGTCGTCATATAGGTTACGAGTCGATCTGCGTAACGCTAGCGTTACTGCTTTGACTGCCCTGGCGGAGTATCCTCTTATCTTTAAGCACGTTTTGATACGGTCCACACGTGTAACTGGAACACTGTTGGGTTTCTGTGGACTTGCTTGGTGTGCGGATGTATTAGTAGGTGCGGCCAATCTGGTAATTTGATTACTGGGTTTCCGAGATCTTCTATTAGGTCTGGGAACCATGCTCTCACTGGCCAATAGGGCCCGACCAAAGTCAGTTGTAGCATCTGAGTCTGTTTCATCTGGAACTGGCGAGTATCAGGGTGGAAAAAGAGTAGCGCCTGTGGTTGTGTTCTGTTGAATCTCGTGGCAAACAGGTCTGTATGCAAGAATCTCGTGGCATCCTATCTCCTTTATGTTCCGAAACGCTTCTGGATGGAGCATCCATTCCGTAGGTGACGGGTGTAGTGGTCTTGAGAGAGTGTCTGCCAGTACTTTCTTGGCTCCGGGTATGTGACACGCCTTTATCCAGATGTTTGCTTCCTGCGTGATCTGGAACAACTGGAATGTGAGCTGCAACAGGCTTGGTGACCTTGTGGATCCTTGCCAGTTTATGGAGAACGCCACTGTGGAGTTGTCCGTGTGGATCATCAGCATTTTGTTGTTCAGCAAGCTCGACCATAGTTGTAAGGTGTTGATCACTGCTTTCATCTCTAGCAGCTATGTGAAGCTGCTGTTCCATTTTGGACCACTTTAGCGACGCAACTTGATCGTTGAGATGCGCACCCCATCCTTGCATCGAGGCGTCTGCGTAGAGATGTGTGCCGAAGGCCGGCTCTCTTAAATAGGTTCCTTTGCAAACGTTCAACCTGTGTGTCCACCACAGTAGATACCTCCTGAGGTTTTCTGGCAGCAAGGTAAGGTCGACGCTGTCTAAATGTATTATCAGGAACCGTTGCAGCGGTCTTAGTTGTAACCTTCCTGTGCGAGACAAGTCCTGCGCCAAGGCTAGTAGACCGAGTAGGCATTGCCATGTTCGTAGTGTTAATGGAGAGATGACTGCTTGTTGAATCATGGCTTGTATCTTGACCCAATGATCTTCTGGGCCCACAATTCGATTCTGTGTTGTGATAATTCATATTCCCAGCAACTGAAGATCTTGTTTGATTCTAACTCCAATTTACATCAGGTTCACTAGCCAAGTTCAGCTGCTCCCTGAGGTGATTGGCACTTTGAAGAACCTGTATGCCGTCGTCCAGATAACCGGCACTGCGTAGACCTCGATGTTGCAGATAGGTGCCGATAGGCTTGGTTATTCGTATGAATAATCATAGAGCCTACGATATTCCAAACGATAGGACGTTCCATTGGAAGTGCTAACCTCTGATTGCAGTGATGATACATCATTCTTCCCCTTATATACGCAGGCGATCTGTGTTGACATCGAAGCGTTGTCTATTTATAGCAAGGCTGTCTCCCGTGTATCATCGCAGGGGACAGGTATTCATACCAGCTTTTATCAGCGACAACTTCCAAAATAAACATCGTTTATCCTGCTGTCAAGACTAGACATCTATTAGATTCCCATGATGATAACAGGCCGTAGTTGTATACTGTTTCCAAGGCTGCCGATGAAGTATTCCCTCGTACCACGGGCTTGTTTACAATGAGAAAACATGCTGGAGCCTGCTCTGTCAGTGGGAGGCGTTTTCTGACGTGGACCAATCAGCTTCAAGCATGACGTCACCAGTGTTGTAGCAAGTTGGCCTCCATAAAATCTGATGCAATGTAGTTGGTTGAGTAAAAGCGAGCGTAATTCTACGCCTCTCATATAAACCTCTTGACTAAGGGTTGCTCCAAGTGTAAATTCTTGTTTAGTGATATAATCACTTATTCCCCATGACGAAGGAGGCTGTTGAGACATATGTCTGTATGGATCTTGAAGAAATACCGATGTTGAATCTAGTTGATAGGATATAATTCCTAATCCCCACGCTGAGTGACGAGTGTTAATACGATCATCTGTACGTCCGTTCAAGGATACTTGAAGGCGATGTTAACCTTAAGCCCTTTACAAAGGTTGTCTTGAGGTTCTCCAGTACTTGAGATATCGGCTTCATAGGTGATATCATATTGGAGTCGAAGTCATCAGCGTATATGCAGTACGTCTCTGTTGGGTTGGAGTGAGTGAGTGAACGACAATATCCGCAGGCCATCTGCTACCCGGTATAAGACCTCATCCGTTTTCATCATTGCTTCGTTTTATTCAGCTGTATGGTAATAGAGTCGACGTCAACATCCTGCCTGTTGATGTAAGGGTTTGTTAACCCTAGGGTTTGCAAACCCTGTAGATGTCTATGTTGCTGTTATCTGCGTAATTTTGAAGAATAGGGCTAAATAAAAAGGATATGATGCCGTATACAGGACTCCAGTGCTCGCCCAACCATCCGCTTGGGCGAAAAGGGAGAGAGTGACAAGTAAGTCACGTCACATGACTGGTTTGCGCGGGAAAGGGCAAAGGGAGGTAACTCGTGGGTGAGTGTATTTATACGTCCTTTTCGGGAACTTCAAGGGATTCAAGTGTTCCACTACCATTCGTAAGGGAAAGGGAGATAAGCAAAAGATCATGAATCAGGATAAGGAAAAATATAGACATTCTGTTTACAATTATTATTCTAATGACATTGAAACTAACACATATTATAGTATTATCATTATCAAATGGGAAGCATCCATGATCATTGATTTCATGCAAATTTGATAGACTCCCAATTTTTCGAAATGGACTCTCAAAAAATATGCCCTGAGTCCCTAGGAGTCCCAGTTTTGAAGAGCTATGTAAAACCCTGATTACAATTGTTTTATGATGTTATTGTTAGTTTGTCTGAATCTTGTACAATGATATTTGGGTAGCAGAGATTTAGCATATTTAACACTTTCAAATGTTCTTTTTGCATGTTGAATGCATGTCTTTATCAGCTGTGATGAGAAGTGACCTGTTATGAAGTAAATATAGCACACAGTCTTACCAGTCTTCCCCCACATTGAACATACTGAGTGACTTTGTGAAGCTCTGGACATTGTTAGGTGTCACTCTTCGAAGGAAGTCAATGTAATCTTCAGAGTGAAATCTGCACATGTCATGGAAGGTAGCTCGGTATGGTCTGTACACCTGTAATGTAAAATACACATAAAGCATACACCTGCTTATACCTAAAGGGCAAGCATACATGAAAATAAATCTTGTTGTTCAGCAATTTTAAACTTAAAAAAAAGTTTATCAAGTAACAGATTCAAGAATCTGTATCGAAACTTCGCACTAACGAAATAAAAGAAGTTGTTATTCATAAAGTTTGTCAATATTGTACTTCCCAACATATAAAATGCCACTCAAAGAAGTGATGTATCTAGTAGTTTTATTACCAACACAGTACAGATATCACAAGTAACTAATTTATTGTTTGCATTATATTGATTCATATTTTGCTTATTTATCAAGACTTCTATTTCCAAAAGAAATATACCATGGATTATGTCCCTTGCAATATGACATCTATGGTGCCAAGTCATACACGTATAACATCAATAGACCTTATTTGACCCATTTCATGTAGGTACAGGTATGTGGTTCGCAAAAATGTATACATTGTTCAGAAAGTGTTGCAACATTCTTATTTCTGCATACAGTGTAACCAAATTGTAACACATTCAAATTAAGTGAGTTGTCTTTCTTGTCTTCGTTATGAAAATACCTAGCCATCGACAAATGTGCCAGTAAGTTTGCTACTCTTCTCATAAATTGTAAAATATGTCGATCATCTTAAAGTAAACAAGTGTTTGCCACTGATAATGGCAATGTCCTCCGCCGCTAAAGAATGGAATATTTATAACACATTTACTACTTTTATTTTTGGTCACATACAAGAATCACAATCTGCATAATCACCCAATGTTGGCTGTCGACATAATTGAAGACACTGAGTACAACAGTTCATGAGATATCGCGTTAACAAGAGTTTGAAAAGTGGTCAAAGTGTCGTGGTGACCTTGAAAATAAGGTCACGGTGACCAAAATCAACTGGTGTCTGGGTAATCCCCCAATGTAGGCTGTCACCAAATTTGAAACATTGGGTACAAAAGTTCATGAGATATCATGTTAACAAGAATCGGGTTGCCTATGAAAACACTTTGATGTTGAAACAATTTCCAAATAATACTGACTGACTGAGTTTGGTTTTACGCCGCTTTTAGCAATATTCCAGCAACATCACGGCGGGGGACACCAAAAATGGGCTTCACACTCCAAATAATAATAATAATAATGAGAATATTTATAACCCGCCTTTTCCAGGATAGATATCCTGCTCAAAGCGCACAATCTGATCATTATTACCCAGGATAACCCAAGCTGCCTGTTAGGCACTAGAAGGTTAATAAATCACAAATACAAATGCATCTCGTAGTTTTGAATTCTGTGAGAAATTCACACTTCTGTGATGTCATTCACTCATTGTAGTGAGTAAAAAATTACTGAAAACTACATGCATTGTAAATCTCGCCATTTCTGACACATTACAAAATCACCATTCATGTATTTATTACGTGAATTTAAAAAAGCAAAGTTATCATGGGTATTTTCCTTTCATCAAATCACCAGTGATCATTCTGAAACATCAGCCATGTCCCCCAGAATTGCTAAGAATGTTTTGGGAAATATGAAAACATGAACACTGAAATGAACTTTCCGCCATACTACAGAGTGTTTATTAACTTATGATACCTGTACTGTTGGTTATGTTACGTCCATTACAAACAGTCAATCTATCCTGCTGCATAGTTTCATTTATAAGGCATCTTTCATACCTTTTACAAATTTCTTCACGGTTAAAATCAGTTGCCACCAAATAAGTCATAATCTAAGGGGGGTAACTCTGGCATGTTTAGCTTGGAAAACAAAAGCCTCATAATGGCATAACATTTTGAGGCTTGTATTGAGTATTCTACTTTCAATGTGGTAAAATGGGTACAATGATATCAACTAATTCTAAAATTCTGTTTTGTTTTACATAAGAAACAAACATAAGAAAAAACATATTTTTTAGTGTCCACTTCCCCTTTAACAGTGGTAAATACCATAGGTATGATAAACAAAGTATACATACATTGCATTACATTGCATTACATTGCAATGATTAAATGTTGACATTATACCCATCAGACACTCCAATGAAGGTCTACAACATATTCTACACCAACCATTTACACTTAGAATGCCTTGTTACAGACACTGTTAAAGACATCCATCAAGCACACAGTCCAACAGTTGCCAGAATTGCAAATCAGGCTTACATGAACATGTTAAGTTATAATATTACATAACTTATGGTGGTTATAACACTGTTATGTTTCACAGAGAGGGCATTCCACTGTGGCATATTTAAATCTCATTTCTTTCCATCTTTATGATATCCCTCAATGGCTTTTTTAAGTTGCTCCTGAATCAACCAAAAAGGCATGCACTAACTTCGGACTTGTAACCATGGTAATACAATGATGATTAGCACATTCAAGGGGAATGGGAAAATCTTTTCAATTAATACTGCTTAATGAACTGTTCAGTGCCAATGACAGTGGTACATGTACCTGCACCCCTGAGTTCTTCATTACCTTCATTTTCTTGTACAGTCCATAATGCAACACCAGGCAGTGTGTAAGTGATATTCTGTGTGGTTTCATAGGATGTCCTGGACCTAGAAAACATAACAAATGATCAAGTTAGGTGTCATGAATATGCTCATAATCATTCTATGCACACAAGATATATTGCTATATAAGCAAAACTATGGTAACAGGGACTTGAAAATTAGCATGCATTGGAATTATCTTCAGGTTGTTTTGGACCCTAATGATCATCAAAGGGTGCTTGATCAGAAATGGGATTCAAGGGCTAAGGTGAATACATGTAAATGGGTTTGAACCAGCGTCTCTGAGCAAATTAGCACCACAGCAAACTGTGCTTTTACCAGCAGTATTAAGTTACCAATGATCGGTTCAGAACCAAAAGTATTCAAAATGAGCTTTGTCACAAATTATAGAATCTTATGAAAATGTAAGTGAAAACTTTCATGCTATTTTATCAATCTCATTACACTAGAAAATGACACTGCAAACGTGGTCATGACGGTACAAAGAGCAAAAGTTCAAGCCACACTTATCATATACTAGTAAACAAACAATTACACAGGTCTTATAATGTTACTTATATTATTTGAAAACAATGGCAGTTCACTTATGGCATTTTCATGGGTATTTCCCTTTTTTGTTTGCGGTGTTTCCAGTGCTGTGTGAATGTCATACTAACCATAATGAAAGTTGCCAACATCCTGGTCATAGAAGTAAGCAACTGTTGGAGTCGGCATCGTTAATTATGTTTTATTGATGCAATTTATGGATCACATAACTCAGAATACGAGGAAAGGCCAAGACGGTAGCCTTTCTGTACCGGAAGCTGCTCTACAGCGCCCCCTGCATCCAAGGGGGTTAATTTGACACGACAGATATATCACGTGACGTTGTAGGCAACGTGACAGCATGTAAACATCAACGTGGACTTCCGTGTTTAGTCATCTGTCAGTACGCTCCACGTGGAGGTTTTCTATATCACACCCGTGACGTAAGCAGTTCAAAACTATATATATAACATGAAGTCTCTTACAGCGATATCAGAATTTAAACTGACGTTGACAGTCAAATTTATTTCTACAGCCAGAGTCTCTGGCAGAGAGCGGAGCCACCATAATGATTTCAGTCGCACAAATGCCGTGTACCGTTACTTCCCAGCCGAGCCAGGAACCGATTTTTAGTCACCAGTACCAAGAGGAATCAATTCTTGATGCTGAGATAAGTAATGTGTTAAACTCAGTGAAGGATTTACTGAAAAAATACAGAATGTACAGCAAGGCTGCTGAGTCGAGTGTTGTGTCAGGCGGACTACAGCAGTATCTTATCAGACAACTAAAACGGAAAAATGTTACCCCGGACAAGTCAACATTAGAGCGTCTACAAGCTCTTTACCTCAAAGATTCGGCAACTGTTCACATGCTGCCAGATAACGTATACAACAATCAAACTGAAAACAATACTCCAAGATTTAACCGTCTTCCAGTAAGTAAAACTGTTTTTATTTTGTTTGCTTGTTTGTTGTTTAACTCCGCAATCAGCAATACCCCAGCTATATGGCGGCGGTCTTTAAATCATAGTCTCGACCAGACAATCCAGTGATCAACTGCATCAACATAGATCTACGCAACTGGGAAACAATGACATATGTCAACTAAGTCGGTGTGCCTGACCATCCGATCCACCTCTTACAAGGCAGTAAAATTGATTATGTTAATTACACGAAATGTTACTGTATAATGAAAATCAACAGCTACATATGATGAATATTAATGAAACTGATAATATAATAATTGTAAGACCATGTAGATCTAGTAATGATTTTTAATTACGTATGTTTATGACTGTTTAAGGTCATCATTCTCATTAGTCATTGATCAAACTGTTGTGAAGTATTATATCAGTTGTCTTTGCCATTTTTAGGTCAATTTGAAACTGCACATATTTTCCTTCCTGGATGCCAGAGGGTTGTGTCAAGCTAGTCGAGTATGTCGTGAATGGCATCAGCTGACGTCTGATGCATTGTTATGGCAAAGGAGACTCAAGATAGATTTACCAAAATGGGAAGTTCTGTCTCACACAGCGAATCCCAAACTGTATCAGGAAACTGAGTCAGAACTGACAGATAAAGAAGTGTAAGTATTTTTCATACAAGTAGTACTTATGCCCCACTTATCATTCTTCTTTTAACTTTCTTTGCTATGAACTGATTCAGATATTTTTAATGGAATTAAGTTTGTGACTGGGTTACTGTTATATTTATCAATGATTTCTTCTTGTTGTGTATGTTGTTAATATCAAACAGTAACCAATGAAATTTAAGAAAGTGACATTGTAGCATTGACATTTAATGCATAAGGATGACTTTGGATCAATAGTAATAATTCTTATGTTGATGAACATAAAGTGATGAATCCTGCTATTTTCAGTTACTTCAGATGTTCCCCTGAAGTTCAGCAGTGTCAAAGACAGGAGCTCTCAACATTCCACCAAGTATCACAGGTGCTCAAGTCATTCCTTCCAAAGAAAGCCCCTCGTGTTGCCATGTTTGGACCAGGCCTTGAAACCAACACCAGCAGCATTGTCAGGAAGATGCTGTATGAAGACAATGAAACATTCCAAAGGATAGCAATGTTTCCTGGACAGTTTGAAGGTGAGTTATTCCTTCTGTGGTCCTAAACATGCTTTATCCAATGGTCGCCCCAAAGTTCCAGGGTAGAGGTCTGCAACCTATGCTTGTCATGAGCAGTCACTAAGGGGATTGGGTGGTCAAATTCACTGACATGGTCGATGCATGTCAAATCCAAGTTGCATAGTTTGAAGCTTATGATGTTAATCACTGGGTTGCCTGGCCCAGAAACGATTCTATGATGTTCACACATTCTCTGTTCTCAACAGGTATGGGGGCTGGTATGACGATGAAGCTGCGTTCAGGCAACAACTTCCACCTGACTGTTCTGTACACAGCAACAAAGAGGGAGCGAGAGATGACACAAAACCGAGATAGACTGGCTACAAGTAAACTGCTGAGTAAGCAGAAACAGAATGAAGATGGCACTGATAGTGAAACCTACGAGCTTCAGCAGTCAATCAAAGATCTGTGTCACACCCTAGATGCCTTTGTGTTTGTAGTGGATGCTTCCTGCCCAGTGGAAACAGGTGGGTGATCACGGTCATCCTTATGACTTGGTAGAGTCTGTCTGGCCATGACATTGTGGTTACTTCCTCACTTGGTTTGCCTCTAATTTTGTCATGTAGGTTTTTATACTTTCACAGGACTAGATGGTATACTTTTAGGTTTCTTGGTAAACTCTCAAGACAGGCATCCTATATCATTCACACTTGGCATACTTAGCCCTAGCAACTACAAGCCCAAGGAGATCTAATACAGAACTTTCAAACAACCACTTTTTTAGCTACTTTAAATTGTATGAAGTATTCGAACTGAGGAGGTAATGCTTTTTCTAGTTACACAGATATGTCTCGGTTTCACATATGACTCAATTACAAATTCTAGACATACTGACTGCCTGTAACATTGGTAACAAACCCAACCCAATAATGTCTCTATTTTCATTTATGGCTTTGTTGATGACAAATCATGTTTACAATTCTTCACTTGTTGTTTTTCTGTTCATTATTATCTTACTAGGTTATCATTAAGTCATATTGACCAATAGTAATTTTCTTCACTATTATTATTTCAGTGGAGAGTGGTAAAAGAGAGCTGTTTGCCATGATCAACGAAAGATGGTTAGCTCCATATGTTCCGGTTCTGGTGCTCTCGTGTATCCCAGAATCATCTTCTCAGAGACTTCCTGCTAGTGAAGTTGTGCTGGCACTAGATCTCTGTGAGCTCAACAGGCCCTGGCTGGTAGGTACCATGTAGGGAACTGGTATCAAGTCAGTGTCCATCCTTATTAATCCAGGGTACTTTAGGATAATTATCCTGGATCCATTCACCACCTAGTTCTGTAGTGATGTGTTTCATCACTAACTATACTACTCACACTTTGATAAGGATCACAAAAATTCACAACTTTACTTACACGAAGATTTATAAAATGAAATTGTATCCATTTAAAACTGGATAAATAATAATATGGTAACACCTCTTTAGGCACACAGCCACTTTATTGTAACCTTATGCACTTGATACATCAGTAACCATAAGAATGGTTTTCATGGCACCAATCAACCATTTTGCAAGTCACGGAACGAGTCATTGACAAATAAACGACACCTGTCAATAGCATGTATGGGATCCTCAAGAAGCAATGACATACTGAAACCTAGGAACCATGCTTACAATAAGCTTGCATATTTAAACCAAATTTGTCCCCACATCAGTTTTCTATTGAATCCATGATTTGATCCTTAGCAAAGAGTGAATAGTATATTTATAGGTCGACTTAGAATGTGTAAATTTTATCACCAGTTACTACGAGACTGATTCCACATGTATGTTTTGTTACCAACTGTGAGGAGGCTGACTCAATATTTATGTATTTTATTTTGGTTTGCAGGTGAGGGATGCTGTGGTTGATGGTCTCACTGGTGTGGAGAAAGGAATTCAATGGATTGTTGATCAGTCTCAGCACAAGTAAACACAGGAGGCTGAATTGTGACTGATGTTCCCACAGCATAATGGCAGGAGACATGATCACTGGGAATGCAGCCGTCTTTTATGAAGATCACTTTGAATGGCTGTGCAAGATTGCCGATTCCATGTTGACCAATATTTCCTCACTGACTCCCTTACATGAGTGAGTGAGTGAGTATGGTTTTACGATGCTTTTAGCAATATTCTAGAAAAATCATGGCGGGGGACACCAGAAATGGGCTTCACATATTGTTGTACCCATGTGGGGAATCAAACCCGGGTCTTCAGCATGCCAAGCAAACACTTTAACGACTAGGCTACCCCCCACCGCCCTTACATGAAGTCAGGGGTCATTGTGATGCAGGCATGACGAGCATTACTGACTATGTGGAGGACCTTAATGTGATATTGTCAACTATTCCACTTCATGGCATGACATAGAAATCTCAAACTTAAACCAGAGTAGGTGTTAGAACGTTTTTGATATTTATGTATTTTCATATTGTTAAAATATTGTTTTGAAATCAAATAAATGTGATGGCATTGATGTTTTTGGTTTGGTTTTGAAATCAACAAGTGTGTGATGTTCATGGATGTGTGATCTCAGCTGTGACAAGCCCCAGTATATCACTAGCACATTCACTGTCATGGACAGATTACCTATCTGGTGAGTGTCCTCCCACAAGTCTCATGTCAGACAGCTTAAAACAACACTATGTGGCTGATAAATATAAATAGTACCTGTGTTAACATAGGAACAGGAAGGATCTTTTTATGGATAGACAACTTTATTGCAATAGATGTGTTGTCGATGCTAACACCATTATAACGTCCATTGCAATAAAGAAGTTGTTTATTCTTAAAAGAATCCTTCCTGTTCATCATACCAGCCTGTAATTGCCACTCACAGAAACTATATTAACATAGTTTGGTCCAACACGTGGGGACAGAAAATGAGTGAGTGAGTTTAGTTTTACCCCGCACTCAGCTATATTCCAGCTATATGGCGGCGGTCTATAAATAATCAAGTCTTGACCAGACAATCCAGTGATCAACAGCATGAGCATCGATCTGCGCAATTGGGAACCGATAACATGTGCCAACCAAGTCAGCGAGCCTGGCCACCAGATCCGGTTAGTCGCCTCATACCACAAGACTGGGTTACTGAAGACCAATTCTAACCCGGATCTTCACCGGTCAGTGACAGAAAATACAGAAGAGCATTGGTCCCTTAACTCTTTAATCCACGCTCTGTAATGTGTTTTGGCACATTAGATATTATATATATGAAAGCAACATATACATATGATTTGGCATGAATACCTTCCACACAACACATCTCAAAGCTAGGTTTCACTAGCTTTGATATAAATGTAATTAAATCTTGGTTGGTGTAAACGTTTTCTACATGTCAAATCATAACCACCAAATCACGTTCTGGACAACATATACAATTCATTAGTATTTACAAAAGAATTGTGAGATTTGGGTACGGATGATAGTGGATTAAGACGCTGTTATATCCCGGTGGAGTCATGATACGTATCCCGTGACTGTGTCCACACCTGTGTCGCTACCTCAGTCAAAGTTACATGCCTCCGCAGATCTAAGGGGTGTTGGTGGAAGCGTCAACCATTAACTTTTTCCCAGTTTTTGATAAGTATTTCAGTCGCCGGCTTTCCTTCTTTAGTTCCCTTTGTTCTTCCAGTAGCTGACGGTGCAGTTCCTCCAGTCGCAGCAATTCCGCCTCGGCAGAAACCTGTCAAAAATACATAAATGTAACAAATTGCGAAAAAGATTAACTTACCTATACTGCCGATCAAAAGAAAATCTTCTATAGATTGAACTGTACGAAAAAGATGCAAACATGTTTTCGATAGTGATGTCTATTTGGTAAGAGTTACGCCCGTAATCCCCGCTTGAAATGTATTCTGTTTATTACGTTTATTTCAAGGGGTTAGGGGAGTTCCTCCCGTTCCCCCATCCCAAATAATATTTATAAATATACTAAATTTATTAACAAAACTTAACACAATCACTAGAGAACTCACAAAATGACTAAAAGTCCAAAATTTACGTTAGGGTTACGTTGAGAGTTAAGTTTAGGGTTGGGGGAACGGAAGGAACTGTTTCCGGTTAGGGTGTACGTTTAGGGTAGGCTTTCTATAAAAAAAAACCCCATCTGTTCTTAATATGAATCTTAGGCATAGAATGAAAAAAAAACTGGGCGGAAATCTTTCCCCAAGACGCGGGTTAAAGACAAGAAACAAATACACTTCTTGATTTACTTACATCCAATGGACCTGCACCGGAGTCACCTGGCCCAGCCGCGTGTGTACCCTCCTCGGACGGCAGGAAGATGGACGTGGTCGTCGTCGGCGACGATGAAGTGGTCTGGATCATGGCCTGTGGAGCCGATGGAGCCTCGACTGGAGCCTGGACTGGAGGCCCTGCAGATGTGCGAAGGAAATGAAACATTATAGATGAGGAATGTTGGCGATGTGATGGATGTACGATGCGACGAATGTTCCACAACCGTGATGCATCCGTATCTGATATTGGATGTTTAACCGCATTCACGTCAACAAGTACATGTCCGGGCACAGCTGAGAGTGAATGCGTCGATATATCGTTTGAACATTGTCAATTCATATTCTTTGAAACACGAAGTCTGCATGGAAGCCCTTAGTGTTATGTAACTGAAAGGTGGAGGTGAACTTGTCGATCACGGAATTCTCGAGAAACAGGTGCTGTTAACATGGAATATCCTGACACAGTTCTGAACTTCTTATACTTGAGCCTGGCGCAACTCTATAGCATCATATTGAGAGTATATATTCTTGATTTAGTGTATATCTTCTCATTCTCAATAAACATTCCTCACACTCTCGGGTCGCCCCCTCAATATTAGACTGTAGCCATATTTGTCACGACCTACGTATCTCGTTGTTACTGTGTAATAACTGCCGTTTGTATATAGTATGGTGTAGTGTAAGGCCATATATAAAATATTCTTGTTTCACATTACCAACCGACCCTAACATTTTATATATTTTTACACCAGAGAAAAAACGGAACTTTGACTCTCAAAATGTGCATGATTATTTCATGCTTCTAAGTTTTGATTTTCTATCGGAGAAAAGGTGTAAATTTCCACAAAATCAAGTTTTTTTTACACGAAATAAATGAAAAGTTAAAAATAAAATCCGCCCACCCGACCCATATTGTTTTTAAAAATTGATGAGAAACAAGCATATTTTGTATGTGGCCTAATGTTGAATTATTTGTGTATCGGTTGTGCAGGGGTCAGCGGCCTCAAATGTTTGACACATAAATCGCCAAATACCATCATGAATGTGTGAAATTCTCGTAGCGACCGATCAGTGTTCTGGCAGTGAATTTTAAATTCAGACATACAAAGGTGAGCCGATCGACCCGGTCGACTGTCTGACTGCATCGTCTGGGTCGATCTGAAAGCCGATTGTTGCCAGTTATTTTATGAATGGATGGTGAGGTGAGGTGAAATTGGGTTTAACGTCGTGCTTGAGAATATTTCGCTCAATATATGACGACGTGCATGCGTGTGTACGTGTATGTGCGGCTGCTTGTACTAGCCCAGACTGAAGCTGGTTTTATAGTGCTAGCCCACTGAGATACCATGCCGCAGTTAAGCATGAATACCCCACTCAGACACATTATACTGACTCCGAGCCGACCAGTCCTTGTTGTACCCATTAATGCCGAACGCCAGGCAGGGACCAACAAGTACCATATTTTAACGTCTTTTGGTATGACGCGGTCGGGGATCGAACCCGCGACCTTCCGCTCTCCGGGCGGACGCTCTAACCACTACACCACGGAGGCGGTCTAATTTATGAATGGGACAACAAAATGGGCCTCAAACATTGTACCCATGTACCCACGTATAGAACCCGGGCTTTTAGCTACTAGGCCATCTCAAATGCCATATTTTGATTTGAAGATATGAATTCCTTTTGGGAGTGAGTGATAACTATATCAATACTCAGCTGGTAAACTGGTTCAGTATTATCTTTATACATCTCTGCGTGTTGCCTCTGAGACTTTATGGGCGGTGGCGTAGCCTAGTGGTTAAAGCGTTCGCTCGTCACGCCGAAGACCCGGGTTTGACTTCCCACACGTGTACAATACGTGAAGCCCATTTCTGGTGTCCCAGTAAAATGGCGCCAGCACATTTCCGAGGTGAAGCAATATTATGACCTCCTCATGATCTCGGAAATGTGTTGGCCCTATATGACCTCCTTATGATCTCGGAAATGTGTTGGCCCTATATGACCTCCTTATGATCTCGGAAATGTGTTGGCCCTATGTGAGCTCCTTATGATCTCGGAAATGTGTTGGCCCTATATGACCTCCTTATGATCTCGGAAATGTGTTGGCCCTATGTGACCTCCTTATGATCTCGGAAATGTGTTGGCCCTATGTGGCATCCTTATGATCTCGACTCTCCTTGATGTGTTGGCCCTATATGACCTCCTTATGATCTCGGAAATGTGTTGGCCCTATCTGACCTCCTTATGATCTCGGAAATGTTTTGGCCCTATATGACCTCGGAAATGACCTCCTTATGATCTCGGAAATGTGTTGGCCCTATGTGGCCTCCTTATGATCTCGGAAATGTGTTGGCCCTATGTGGCCTCCTTATGATCTCGGAAATGTGTTGGCCCTATGTGGCTTCCTTATGACCTCGGAAATGTACTGGCCCTTACCCCGAGAGTGTTTGTTTAGCATAACGATTGTGTCGGTAAATAACAACAGATCAAAGGAAGGTTCTCGTCCTCCTGATTATGTCTCAAACAAAATGACTGTCATAAGGGATGGTCGTCATTTTTGGGGATCTCTCTCCAAAACAACACATACAAGCATATAAATTGACAAACACTTTTATACATATAAAAACGTATACTGCTGGAAGGTGAGACGACTTCTCCGTGTATGGGGATCTCTCTCCAAAACAACACATACAAGCATATAAATTGACAAACACTTTTATACATATAAAAACGTATACTGCTGGAAGGTGAGACGACTTCTCCGTGTATGGTTGGGGGTGGGTGGCGTCTCACACGACGTGGAGGTGCACTGTCAATGTCTCACTCAGATTAGAGTGTCGTCTCAGGGCCCTGTTCCTCAAATTGATCGTAGCGCTACGACCGTCGTAAGTCTATGTTAAAGTATGGGGGTTATGATAATCTTAGCGCTACGATCGCTTTGTGGAACGGGTCAGCCTTGAACACCCCGTAATTTTCTGAAATCCGAGGCTAAGATAACGTAACCGCTCGTCTGAGTGCTCGCATCAACCATTTTCACACGACATTTTGAACACCTCCCTCCGGGTATCACCATCTCGCTTGACAACTCGAAGTCGTTCACCTTTCTCTTCCCGCTCCTCGAACAATGGGACGACACGTTGGTAGTACCGCGCACTACTGACAAGGTCGCGTCACAGTTTCTGGCGCAATGTCCAGACACACCACACTTGAAACACTGCGCTCGGGCACCCTCCACAGCACCAGGAGTCGTCGTTGTGACGGTAGGGCCGCCGTCAGGTATCCCTTCTACGTCAGCGCCGGTAACAACAGGGGAAGGGGTTGTGGCGTCTATTGCAGTGGTTACAGGGCATGAAACATTGCTTCCCGCAATGTCCGGCGTCCCCACACCTGTTCCTACATGACCTGCGGGACGCTCATGGAGCTTGGTGGCGGCAGGAACCTTGGCGTTGCTGGTGTTGCAAGACATTTTCTTGTGAAAGTGCTGGTACACAGACAATGGTGAGAGAGAGTAAGGAAAGTATGACTGTACTGATCGCTCGCAGTAAGCAGAGTTAGTGGAGAGTGGTCATGTATCTGGTCATATGTGCTACCATGTCCAAAGGGGAGGTCCTTGCTGACACAAGAGCGACCAATCAAGCGCCATACTCCTGCGTTTCACTACGTCACGTGACAGTTTTAATCCCCGATTAAAACGTCACGGCCCGTATGTCCGAGGAGAGACTCTTGATGACAAATGCGATCAATCAAGTGCCATACTCCCGTGATCGCGACTACCACTCGTGACAAACAATCTTCGACTGACACGTCACGCCCATCGTCCCTCACTCTTTCACTCACTCGATCCGAATAAGTAACACCCAAATTATCTATCAGCTACTAACGCCGTACACTTGTACCGTTATAGCTGTCATCGTGAAAGTACAGAAAACCTCTTTCAGTCTGTATATCACAACTATTACTAGTATATAGCACCGTAACATGGCATCAGTAGGTAACACAAGTCTGCAGTCCCCCACCAAGAGCCAGAATTTGTATACAGAGGTATTACTGTTTAGAAACGGTGGTAAGCTAAGGGGAACAGAAAAATGGACTTTTGGAGATCACAGGTTAAGATATCAACGTATTATAATTATCTGGGGATTGTATTTTCTAATATATTATGTTGGTTTCAAGCAATTGATATTCTTGTTCAGAAAGCCAATAAGATATTTTCAGTTAAATACCTACAGTATAAGTTGAAGAATATTTCTCCCACTGTTTTATTTAAGATTTTTGATACACAGATAAAACAATTTTTACTTTATTCCAGTGAAGCGTGGAAATTTTTCAAAATTGAATATGTTGAACGTTTTCACATTAAGTTTTGTAAATATGTTTTAGGTGTTAGGTATTATGTCTCAAATGATGCTGTTTTCGGTGAATGTGGTAGACATGGTCTGTTTATTGATTATCATAAACGATGTGTTACAGTTTGTTAAAAATTGTTAACAATACCAGCTGTTAGATATTCAAAACAATGTTATTTCTTATGTAAATCATTAGATGAATGTAATCGTAACTTGGGCATCACAAGTTAAACATTTACTATTCAGTTATGGCGTTGGTTTAGTGGGGATCACATCTGTTGTGCCCTTAAACCTACAATGATAACCTACAGTAATCATAAATATACATGAGGTGGGGTGAGGTGAGGTGAAATTGGGTTTAACGTCGTGCTTGAGAATATTTCGCTCATATGACGACGTGTGTGTGTGTAAGTGCGGCTGCTTGTACTAGCCCAGACTTAAGCTGGTTTTATAGTGCTAGCCCACTGAGATACCATGCCGCAGTGAAGCATGAATACCCCACTAATACCGAGCGCCAGGCAGGGACCAACAAGTACCATATTTTAACGTCTTTTGGTATGACGCGGTCGGGGATCGAACCGGGCGGACGCTCTAACCACTACACCACGGAGGCGGCCTAAATATACATGAATGGGCGCACACACACTTGAAGTAGGTGACACAAACATGTTTCTCAATACCTTTGTACAATGACTTGAAGATTGGTACTCTAAAATTTGTGATTCAAGTAAATTATGTAATTATAAAGAATATAAATCTCTATTGTCAAATGAATATTATGTGTGTGCTATCCCAGAAAGGGAATACAGAAGACTTTTGTGTTTATTACGCACATGTGAATATTGGTAGACGGTGTGTCATTCTCCGTGGTAACAGAATATGTACAATTTGTGCGTTACGTTGCATAGAAGATGAATATCACTTCCTTATAATATGGCCATTGTATGACTATCTCAGATCAAAATATATACCAAGATATTATTGTAAAAGTCACCTACGATGTT